GGTGACTCACCTGGGACTCTACCGTGGTGACGGTGACTCACCTGGTGATCTACCGTGGTGACGGTGACTCACCTGGGACTCTACCGTGGTGACGGTGACTCACCTGGGACTCTACCGTGGTGACGGTGACACAGCTGGGGCTCTACCGTGGTGACGGTGACACAGCTGGGACTTTACCGTGGTGACGGTGACTCACTTGAGACTCTACCGTGGTGACGGTGACTCACGTGGGACTCTACCGTGGTGCCGGTGACTCACGTGGGACTCTACCGTGGTGACGGTGACTCACCTGGGACTTTACCGTGGTGACGGTGACTCACCTGAGACTCTACCGTGGTGACGGTGACTCACGTGGGACTCTACCGTGGTGACGGTGACTCACCTGGTGATCTACCGTGGTGACGGTGACTCACCTGGGACTCTACCATGGTGACGGTGACTCACCTGGGACTCTACCGTGGTGACGGTGACTCACCTGAGACTCTACCGTGGTGACGGTGACTCACCTGGGACTCTACCGTGGTGACGGTGACTCACGTGGGACTTTACCGTGGTGACGGTGACACAGCTGGGGCTCTACCGTGGTGACGGTGACACAGCTGGGACTTTACCGTGGTGACGGTGACTCACCTGAGACTCTACCGTGGTGACGGTGACTCACGTGGGACTCTACCGTGGTGCCGGTGACTCACGTGGGACTCTACCGTGGTGACGGTGACTCACCTGGGACTTTACCGTGGTGACGGTGACTCACCTGAGTCTCTACCGTGGTGACGGTGACTCACGTGGGACTCTACCGTGGTGACGGTGACTCACCTGGGGCTCTACCGTGGTGACGGTGACTCACCTGGGGCTCTACCGTGGTGATCGTGACTCACCTGGGGCTCTACCGTGGTGACGGTGACACACCTGGTGATCTACCGTGGTGACGGTGACTCACCTGGGACTTTACCGTGGTGACGGTGACTCACCTGGTGATCTACCGTGGTGACGGTGACTCACCTGGGACTCCACCGTGGTGACGGTGACTCACCTGGGACTCTACCGTGGTGACGGTGACTCACCTGGGACTCTACCGTGGTGACGGTGACTCACCTGGGACTCTACCGTGGTGACGGTGACTCACCTGGGACTCTACCGTGGTGACGGTGACACACCTGGGACTCTACCGTGGTGACGGTGACTCACCTGGGACTCTACCGTGGTGACGGTGACTCACCTGGTGATCTACCGTGGTGACGGTGACTCACCTGGGACTCCACCGTGGTGACGGTGACTCACCTGGGACTCTACCGTGGTGACGGTGACTCACCTGGGGCTCTACCGTGGTGACGGTGACTCACCTGGGACTCTACCGTGGTGACGGTGACTCACCTGGGACTCTACCCCTGCGTTGTGTTGTAGTCTAAGCTTGTTGTAGTCTAAGCGTGTTGATGTCTGCGTTGTGTTGAAGTCTAAACGTGTTGATGTCTGACCCTGCATTGTGTTGAAGTCTAAACGTGTTGATGTCTGACCCTGCGTTGTGTTGAAGTCTAAGTGTGTTGATGTCTGCCCCTGTGTTGTATTCTAAGCGTTTTGATTTCTGCGTTGTGTTGAAGTCTAAGCGTGTTAATGTCTGCCACCTGCGTTGTGTTGAAGTCTAAGCGTGTTGTAGGCTAAGCGTGTTGATGTCTGTGTTGTGTTGAAGTCTAAGCGTGTTGATGTCTGCGTTGTGTTGAAGTCTAAGCGTGTTGATGTCTGCGTTGTGTTGAAGTCTAAGCGTGTTGTAGTCTAAGCGTGTTGATGTCTGTGTTGTGTTGAAGTCTAAGCGTGTTGATGTCTGCGTTGTGTTGAAGTCTAAGCGTGTTGATGTCTGCGTTGTGTTGAAGTCTAAGCGTGTTGATGTCTGCGTTGTGTTGAAGTCTAAGCGTGTTGATGTCTGTGTTGTGTTGAAGTCTAAGCGTGTTGATGTCTGCGTTGTGTTGAAGTCTAAGCGTGTTGATGTCTGCGTTGTGTTGAAGTCTAAGCGTGTTGATGTCTGCCACCTGCGTTGTGTTGAAGTCTAAGCGTGTTGAAGTCTGCGTTGTGTTGAAGTCTAAGCGTGTTGATGTCTGCCCCTGCGTTGTGTTGTAGTCTAAGCGTGTTGAAGTCTGCGTTGTGTTGAAGTCTAAGCGTGTTGATGTCTGCCCCTGCGTTGTGTTGAAGTCTAAGCGTGTTGATGTCTGCGTTGTGTTGTAGTCTAAGCGTGTTGATGTCTGCGTTGTGTTGAAGTCTAAGCGTGTTGATGTCTGACCCTGCGTTGTGTTGAAGTCTAAGCGTGTTGATGTCTGTGTTGTAGTCTAAGCGTGTTGATGTCTGCGTTGTGTTGAAGTCTAAGTGTGTTGATGTCTGCCCCTGCCTTGTGTTGAAGTCTAAGCGTGTTGATGTCTGCGTTGTGTTGAAGTCTAAGCGTGTTGATGTCTGCCCCTGTGTTGTGTTGAAGTCTAAGCGTGTTGATGTCTGCGTTCTGTTGTAGGCTAAGCGTGTTGATGTCTGCCCCTGCATTGTGTTGTAGGCTAAGCGTGTTGATGTCTGCGTTGTGTTGTAGGCTAAGCTTGTTGATGTCTGCGTTGTGTTGAAGTCTAAGCGTGTTGATGTCTGACCCTGCGTTGTGTTGTAGTCTAAGTGTGTTGATGCCTGCGTTGTGTTGTAGTCTAAGCGTGTTGATGTCTGCCTCTGCGTTGTGTTGAAGTCTTAGCGTGCTGATGTCTGCCCCCTGCGTTTTGTTGAAGTCTAAGTGTGTTGATGTCTGCGTTGTGTTGTGGTCTAAGCGTGTTGATGTCTGCGTTGTGTTGAAGTCTTAAGTGTGTTGATGTCTGCCTCTGCGTTGTGTTGTAGGCTAAGTGTGTTGATGTCTACCCCCTGCGTTGTGTTGTAGTCTAAGCGTGTTGATGTCTGCGTTGTGTTGTAGTCTAAGCGTGTTGATGTCTGCGTTGTGTTGAAGTCTAAGCGTCTTGATGTCTGCCACCTGCGTTGCGTTGAAGTCTAAGCGTGTTGATGTCTGTGTTGTGTTGTAGTCTAAGTGTGTTGATGTCTGGCCCTGTGTTGTGTTGAAGTCTAAGCGTGTTGATGTCTGCCCCTGCGTTGTGTTGAAATCTAATCGTGTTGATGTCTGCGTTGTGTTGAAGTCTAAGCGTGTTGATGTCTGCGTTGTGTTGTAGTCTAAGCGTGTTGATGTCTGCGTTGTGTTGAAGTCTAAGCGTGTTGATGTCTGCGTTGTGTTGAAGTCTAAGCGTGTTGATGTCTGCGTTGTGTTGTAGTCTAAGCGTGTTGATGTCTGCCCCCTGTGTTGTGTTGTAGTCTAAGCGTGTTGATGTCTGTGTTGTGTTGAAGTCTAAGCGAGTTGATATCTGACCCTGTGTTGTGTTGAAATCTAAGCGTGTTGATGTCTGCGTTGTGTTGTGTTGTAGGCTAAGCGTGTTGATGTCTGCGTTGTGTTGTGTTGTAGGCTAAGCGTGTTGATGTCTGCGTTGTGTTGTGTTGTAGTCTAAGCGTGTTGATGTCTGCCTCTGTGTTGTGTTGTAGGCTAAGCGTGTTGATGTCTGCCTCTGTGTTGTGTTGTAGTCTAAGCGTGTTGATGTCTGCGTTGTGTTGAAGTCTAAGCGTGTTGATGTCTGCGTTGTGTTGAAGTCTAAGCGTCTTGATGTCTGCCACCTGCGTTGCGTTGAAGTCTAAGCGTGTTGATGTCTGCCTCTGCATTGTGTTGTAGTCTAAGCATTTTGATGTCTGTGTTGTGTTGAAGTCTCAGCTTGTTGATGTCTGTGTTGTGTTGAAGTCTAAGCGTGTTGATGTCTTCCCCTGCGTTGTGTTGAAGTCTAAGCGTGTTGATGTCTGTGTTGTGTTGAAGTCTAAGCGTGTTGATGTCTGTGTTGTGTTGAAGTCTAAGCGTGTTGATGTCTTCCCCTGCGTTGTGTTGAAGTCTAAGCGTGTTGATGTCTGTGTTGTGTTGTAGTCTAAGCGTGTTGATGTCTGCGTTGTGTTGAAGTCTAAGCGTGTTGATGTCTGCGTTGTGTTGAAGTCTAAGCGTGTTGATGTCTGCCCCCTGCGTTTTGTTGAAGTCTAAGCGTGTTGATGTCTGCCCCTGTGTTGAAGTCTAAGCGTGTTGATGTCTGTGTTGTGTTGTAGGCTAAGCGTGTTGATGTCTGCGTTGTGTTGAAGTCTTAGCGTGTTGATGTCTGCCCCTGTGTTGTGTTGAAGTCTAAGCATGTTGATGTCTGCGTTGTGTTGAAGTCTAAGCGTGTTGATGTCTGCGTTGTGTTGAAGTCTAAGCGTGTTGATGTCTGCCCCTGCGTTGTGTTGAAGTCTAAGCGTGTTGATATCTGCCCCTGTGTTGTAGTCTAAGCGTGTTGATGTCTGCGTTTTGTTGAAGTCTAATCGTGTTGTTGTCTGCGTTGTGTTGAAGTCTAAGCGTGTTGATGTCTGCCCATGCGTTGTGTTGAAGTCTTAAATGTGTTGATGTCTGCCCCTGTGTTGTAGGATAAGCGTGTTGATGTCTGCCCATGCCTTGTGTTGAAGTCTTAAATGTGTTGATGTCTGCGTTGTGTTGAAGTCTAAGCGTGTTGGTGTCTGCCCCTGCGTTGTGTTGAAGTCTGCCCCCTGCGTTGTGTTGAAGTCTGCCCCCTGAGTTGTGTTGTAGTCTAAGCGTGTTGATGTCTGCCCTGTGTTGTAAGCGTGTTGATGTCTGCCCCTGTGTTGTATTCTAAGCGTGTTGATGTCTAAGCGTGTTGACGTCTGCCCCTGTGTTGTAGTCTAAGCGTGTTGACGTTTGCCCCTGTGTTGTAGTCTAAGCGTGTTGATGTCTAAGCGTGTTGACGTCTGCCCCCTGCGTTGTGTTGATGTCTGCCCCTGTGTTGAAGTCTAAGCGTGTTGATGTCTGCCCCTGTGTTGTATTCTAAGCGTGTTGATGTCTGCGTTGTGTTGATGTCTGCGTTGTGTTGATGTCTGCGTTGTGTTGATGTCTGCCCCCGTGTGTTGTGTTGAAGGCCACTGGGAATGCCGCGTCTCACCGAGTCTCACTCCCACGAGTCTCTGCTTAGCCCCAGCCGAGTGGAAACTCTGAGCTTGGCCGGCGGCGACGGCGGCGACGGCGGCGACGGCAGCGACGGGGAGCCACCACTCATCAAGCCCCTGCACAGCAGCATCCTGGGACAGGATTACTGCTTTGAGGTGCCGCTCACACACGCGCACACATTCACACATTCACACGCACACACACACACAGGCACACACACACACACATTAACACGCACACACACACACAGGCACACACACACACACATTCACACGCACACACGCACACACACACTCACACATTCACACGCACACACGTTCACACGCACACACACGCTCACATGCCCTCACACGCACACACACTCACACATTCACACACTCAAGCACACACACTCACACGCACACATTCACACGTACACACACACACATGCACACACGCACACACGCACACACGCTCACGCACACGCACACGCACTCACACACGCTCACACGCACACACGCACACACACACTCACACACACTCACACGCACTCACACATTCACACGCACACACGCACACACACACGCTCACATGCACTCACACACACGCACACACACACACATTCACACGCACACACGCACACATGCTCACACACACTCTCACACACTCACACGCACTCACACACTCACACACTCTCACACACGCTCACGCGCACACACACACATTCACACGCACACATTCACACGCACACAAACACACCCGCACATTCACACTCACACATTCACACACACTCACACAACAACAACAATAACAACAACCGCCATTCGCCACTAAGTGGTGGTGACGTCACCACGCCGCTTGTGCCAGGCTATGTGCACCCTGAGGCCACGTGAAGTGTCGAACGCCCGCTGGCAGGAGGTCACGGGGCAGACCCAGGTGCCACGGGTCGACTGACTGAGATGACTGAGATGACTGGCTGATGCACCACCTGTGCCCCCTACTGTGCCAACCTGTTGTGCTTTAGTCACCCGGCGCTCCGCTCGTTGTTGTGAGCGTCGCTCCTCCGCCCTCCGTTGTTGTTGGAGGGCGACTGCCTCCAACTGCCCAGTAGCGTCCTTCACGAGCCTCCTCCACAGAGGCCGATCTTGACACCGCTGGTACCAGTCATCGGCAAGTCCACTCAGCTCCACGTCCTCCTGTACCACATCACTCCATCTCTTCTCTAGCCTGTGCCGCGCCCGTTTAGCCCCCTCAATCCGGCCGAACAAAAGCTGTTTCGGCATGCGGTGGCTGGGCATACGGGCTACATGACCCAGCCATCGCAGCCTTGCCCACCGGAGGAGCTCACCGATGGGACCTTGCCCAGATCTTTCAAGGATTTGTGAGCTCACACAATCCAGTCTGGTTAAACCCAGGATGGATCGTAGGCAGGCCAGCCTAAATGTTTCTAACCGGCGAAGATGTTCCATTAGGGGGGTACACGTTTCGCAAGCATAGAGAAGGGAGGGAATGACCGTGGCCGAGAAGACCTGTAGCTTAGTGCGGAGCGACAGACCAGGTAGCTTCCACACAGCGTTACGCAACCGATGAAAAGATATTGCCGCTCGACTGATTCGGAGTGAGACCTCTGCTGTTAAACTGGAACCATTCATAAGCACACTGCTCAGGTATGGGAAACTCTCCACAACTGCCCCATCACCGATTGGGAGTTGTGGGGGTGGAGTGTCTGATGGTACAAAATCCCCAGGCAGGTGCTTAGTTTTGGTGGGGCTGATGGTAAGGCCCCACCTCTTAGTGGCACGCTCCAGTCTCAGCAGCAGCATCTCCTACTCCTCCTCTGAATGAGCAGCTATTACCAAATCATCGGCATGCATAACGTGGTTGAGCAATAGGGAGCCATCCCTTGAACGCACCCGGGCATCGATCAGCCTCCAATTATATCTGTACCATTTGGAGATTCCCCCGGTACAGCTATTGAAGGCTTCACGAACTACGTGGTAAAAATAGATGTTAAATAATGTGGGAGCCAGAGGACATCCCTGTCGCACCCCAAGGTGTACAGGGAATGGCTCTGACTCCCGGCCACGTAGTTTTACCCGGGCCCGCTCACCATCATGAAGGTCCTTAATGATCGTGAGCAGAGGGTCAGGTACTCCAAAAGCACGAAGAACAACCCAGAGCCCAGGCCTACTGATGGTATCATAGGCCTTGACCAGGTCAATAAAGCACACTAACACACTAACACACACTAACACACACACACATTAACACACACACATACTAACACATACACATTAACACACACACACACTCACTAACACACTAAAACTAACACACACACTAACACACAACCCAAGGTGATTACCATTGGCACTATTGCCATCAGCAAGGTATTAGTGATGGTGATGGTTAGTGATGGTGATGGTTAGTGATGGTGATGGTTAGTGATGGCGATGGTTAGTGTTGGTGATGGTTAGTGATGGCGATGGTTAGTGTTGGTGATGGTTAGTGTTAGTGATGGTGATGGTTAGTGATGGTTAGTGATGGCGATGGTTAGTGATGGTGATGGTTAGTTTTGGTGATGGTTAGTGATGTTTAGTGATGGTGATGGTTAGTGTTAGTGATGGTTAGTGGTGGTGATGGTTAGTGTTGGATAGTGATGGTTAGTGATGGTGATGGTTAGTGTTATTGATGGTTAGTGATGGTGATGGTTAGTGATGGTGATGGTTAGTGTTGGTGATGGTTAGTGATGGTGATGGTTAGTGATGGTTAGTGTTAGTGTTGGTGATGGTTAGTGTTAGTGATGGTTAGTGTTAGTGATGGTTAATGTTAGTGATGGTGATGGTTAGTGATGGTTAGTGATGGTTTGTGATGGTTAGTGATGGTTAGTGTTAGTGTTGGTGATGGTTAGTGATGGTGATGGTTCAGTGATGGTTAGTGATGGTGATTGTTAGTGATGGTGATTGTTAGTGATTGTTAGTGATGGTGATGGTTAGTGATGGTGATGATGATGATGGTTAGTGATGGTGATGGTTAGTGATGGTGATGGTTAGTGATGGTTAGTGATGGTGATTGTTAGTGATGGTGATGGTTAGTGATTGTTAGTGATGGTGATGGTTAGTGATGGTGATGATGATGGTTAGTGATGTTTAACTGTGTGTGTGATGGTTAGTGATGGTTAGTGATGTTTAACTGTGTGTGTGATGGTTAGTGATGGTTAGTGATGGTTAGTGATGGTGATGATGATGGTTAATGATGGTTAGTGATGTTTAACTGTGTGTGTGATGGTTAGTGATGGTTAGTGATGGTTAATGATGTTTAACTGTGTGTGTGATGGTTAGTGATGGTTAGTGATGGTTAGTGATGTTTAACTGTGTGTGTGATGGTTAGTGATGGTTAGTGATGGTGATGATGGTTAGTCATGATAAACTGTGTGTGTGATGGTTAGTGATGGTTAGTGATGTTTAACTGTGTGTGTGATGGTTAGTGATGGTTAGTGATGGTTAGTGATGGTGATGATGATGGTTAGTGATGTTTAACTGGGTGTGTGATGGTTAGTGATGGTTAGTGATGTTTAACTGTGTGTGTGATGGTTAGAGATGGTTAGTGATGGTTAGTGATGTTTAACTGTGTGTGTGATGGTTAGTGATGGTTAGTGATGGTGATGATGATGGTTAGTGATGTTTAACTGTGTGTGTGATGGTTAGTGACGGTTAGTGATGTTTAACTGTGTGTGCGATCGTTAGTGATGGTTAGTGATGGTTAGTGATGTTTAACTGTGTGTGTGATGGTTAGTGATGGTTAGTAATGGTGATGATGATGGTTAGTGATGTTTAACTGTGTGTGTGATGGTTAGTGATGGTTAGTGATGTTTAACTGTGTGTGTGATGGTTAGTGATGGTTAGTGATGGTTATTGATGTTTAACTGTGTGTGTGATGGTTAGTGATGGTTAGTGATGGTTAGTGATGGTGATTGTTAGTGATGGTGATGGTTAGTGATTGTTAGTGTTAGTGATGGTTAGTGATGGTGATTGTTAGTGTTAGTGATGGTTAGTGATGGTGATGGTTAGTGATGGTGATTGTTAGTGTTAGTGATGGTTAGTGATGGTTAGTGATGGTGATGGTTAGTGATGGTTAGTGATGTTTAACTGTGCGTGTGATGGTTAGTGATTGTTAGTGTTAGTGATGGTTAGTGATGGTTAGTGATGGTTAGTGATGTTTAACTGTGTGTGTGATGGTTAGTGATGGTTAGTGATGGTGATGGTTAGTGATGGTTAGTGATGGTGATGGTTAGTGATGGTTAGTGATGGTTAGTGATGGTGATGGTTAGTGATGGTTAGTGATGGTGATGGTTAGTGATGGTTAGTGATGTTTAACTGTTTGTGTGCTGCAGGTTATCACGGCTGGCCCCACCAGCAAGGTTTTCTGCTGCCGTTCAGCTTCTGAGCGAGACCGCTGGATGGAGAACTTGCGACGCGCAGTTCAGCCAAACAAGGTACGGCCTCACCACTCGCTCACCCGCTCACTCACCCACTCACTCACCAACTCGCTCACCCACTCACTCACTCACCCACTCGCTCACCCACTCACCCACTCACTCACCCACTCGCTCACCCACTCACTCACCCACTCACTCACCCACTCACTCACCAACTCGCTCACCCACTCACTCACCCACTCACCCACTCACTCACCCACTCACTCGCTCACCCGCTCACTCACCCACTCCCTGGCTCACCCACTCACTCACCCACTCACTCATCCACACACTCACCCGCTCACTCACCCACTCCCTCGCTCACCCACTCACTCACTCACCCACTCAATCACCCACTCACTCACACGCTCACTTACCCACTCACTCACTCACCCATCCACATACTCACGCACACACTCGCTCACCCGCTCAATCACCCATTCCCTGGCTCACCCACTCACTCACCCACTCACTCACCCACTCCCTGGCTCACCCACTCGCTCACCCACTCACTCGCTCACCCACCCACTCACTCACCCACTCACTCACCCGCTCACTCACCCACTCCCTCGCTCACCCACTCACTCACCCACTCAATCACCCACTCACTCACCCGCTCACTCACCCACACACTCACACACTCACCCACTCACTCACCCGCTCACTCACCCACTCCCTCGCTCACCCACTCACTCACCCACTCAATCACCCACTCACTCACCCGCTCACTCACCCACACACTCACACACACACTCGCTCACCCACTCAATCGCTCACCCACTCACTCGCTCACTCACCCGCTCACTCACCCACACACTCACCCACACACTCAAGCAAACACTCGCTCACCCACTCACTCGCTCACTCACCCACACACTCACTCACGCACACACTCACCCACTCACTCGCCCACCCACTCACTCGCTCACTCACGCACACACTCGCTCACCCACTCACTCGCCCACACACTCACTCGCTCACTCGCTCACGCACCCACTCACTCACCCACTCACCAACAGGCTCACCCACAGCCTCACCCACAGCGATGTTGGCACATCGTACCCACGGCACGATCTCGCCCATAGTGACCGTCAGTATGGTGAAGACAGCCGTTGTGTAAAAGTGGTGACGTCTCATTTGTGGAACTTACACCACCACCACCACCACCGTCTCCATCGTCACCACCAACCACCACTACCATCACCACCACTGCCATCATCAACACCACGACTATCACCACCACCACCACAACCGCCACGACCACCACCACCACCACCTCCATTGTCACCACCACAACCATCACCACTACCTCCATCACCACCACTGTCACCACCACCACTACCGTCACCACCACTGCCATCATCACCACCACGACTATCATCAACACCACCACCACAACTGCCACTACCACCTCCATCACCACCACCATCACCACCTCTGTTGTTATCAACATCACTACGGTCACCACCACTGCCATCATCATCACCATCATTTCGAACTCGTTCACACCACCACCACCGACACCACCACTCAACACTGCTACCACCACCGACACCACCACTCAACACTGCTTCCACCACCACTCAACACTGCTTCCACCACCACTCAACACTGTTACCACCACCACCGTCACCACCACTCACCACCGTTACCACCACCACCGTCACCAACACTCAACACTGTTACCACCACCACCGTCACCAACACTCAACACTGTTACCACCACAACTCAACACTGTTACCACCACCACCGTCACCACCACTCACCACTGTTACCACCACCACCACCACCACCACCGTCACCACCACTCAACACTGTTACCACCACCACCGTCACCACCACTCACCACTGTTACCACCACCACCATTCACCACCACCACCGTCACCACCACTCAACACTGTTACCACCACCACCACCGTCACCACCACTCAACACTGTTACCACCACCACCGTCACCAACACTCAACACTGTTACCACCACAACTCAACACTGTTACCACCACCACGACCACCGTCACCACCACTCAACACTGTTACCACCACCATTCACTACCACCACCGTCACCACCACTCAACACTGTTACCACCACCACCACCACCACCGTCACCACCACTCAACACTGTTACCACCACCACCACCACCGTCACCACCACTCAACACTGTTACCACCACCACCACCACCACCACCACCGTCACCACCACTCAACACTATTACCACCACCACCGTCACCACCACTCACCACTGTTACCACCACCACCATTCACCACCACCACCGTCACCAACACTCAACACTGTTACCACCACCACCGTCACCAACACTCAACACTGTTACCACCACAACTCAACACTGTTACCACCACCACGACCACCGTCACCACCACTCAACACTGTTACCACCACCACCACCATTCACCACCACCACCGTCACCACCACTCAACACTGTTACCACCACCGCCACTTACCACCACCACTCATCACCACCACCACCACCACCACGACTCACCGTCACCACCACCACTCACCACTCACCACCGTCACCACCGCGTGCCGCGCCCAGGACAACCGCCGCCGTGTGGAGACTTCCCTGCGCCTGTGGCTGCTGGAGGCCAGGGACCTGCCGCCCGCCGCCGGCGCCGCCGCCGCCGCCGGCGCCGGCGCCGGCGCCCGCCGCCGCTGCCGCCGCCGCCGCCGCCGCCGCCGCTACTTCTGCGAGGTCTGCGTCGACGACCGGCTGTGCGCCCGCACCGCCGGCCGCTGCCAGGCCGCGGGGCCCGGCACGTCGGCCGAGGGCCCCCGCTGGGGCGAGCACTTCCTGCTGCCGGCGCTGCCGCCGGCGCCGCGAGACCTGACGGTGCACGTCTACCGCGAGGACGCCGACGCCGACGACGCCGACGACGCCGACGACGCCGACGCCGACGCCGACGCCGATACCGCCAAGAAGAATAAGAAGAAGAAGGACAAGAAGAAGGACAAGAAGAAGAAGAAGGAGGAGGAGGAGGACGGAGTGGAGATCGGCGGCATCGGCGTCGGCATCGGCGGCGGCGTCTCCGCCGATTACGTGGGGCTCGTGAACATCGCGGTGAACTCCGCCGACGCGCCGGGCGCGCGGCAGCAGCTGGTGGAGAAGTGGTACCCGCTGAGCGCCCCCACGGCCGGCAGGGGCAAGGGGGCGGTGCCCGCGCTGCGCGTCCGCTGGCGCCTGGAGAGGGCCCGAGTTCTGCCCCTGGAGCGCTACAAGGAGTTCGCCGAGTTCCTCACGGGACGCTGCACCGACCTCTGCTCAGCGCTCGAGCCGCGGCTGGGGGCGAGGGCGCGCGGGGACGTGGCGAGGGCGCTGGTGCACGTGCTGCACAGCACGGGGAGGGCCAGGGTGGGTGGAGGGGGTGTGGGGGGGGTGTGTGTGTGGGGGTGTGTGGGGGGGTGTGTGGGTGGGGGTGTGGGGGGGGTGTGTTTGTGTGTGGGTGCGGTGCCGGACGGGCAACTCTGTCGTGGACAGTGCTGTGGGGGGAGATCCAATTTTGATTAGCTCCTCCCCTCATGGCATGTGTGTCCACCACAGGGGCTAAACGGGGGCTCTGGACGGGTGCGAGGGGCTGGTAACCCCTCCACCTTCAATTAATTACCACTAAACCATGAGTTAAACTAAAATATCTAACTAATAAGCTTGTGCCGGAGGCCCCGGGGGGACAGGCGTCTATGACGTCTCCTGGCCAAACCCCATTTGTCGGAGCCAGGAGATTGAATCTCTACCCTCGGGGCTCCTCCAGAAACAACGAAAAGCCACTACGGATGGCCATGTGGAATGTTCGAACGCTCACTGCGGAGGAAAGGCTGCCACTCCTCTGTCGGGAGCTGGACCGGTACCGCCTGGATCTATGTGGCATTCAGGAGGTCCGGTGGACCGGTTCTGGCTCCTGCCACCATGAGGGGTGGACAGTCCTCTACTCAGGGCAGCAGACTGCCAAACAACAGGGTGTGGATCTTCTTATGAACAAAAGAATGAAGGGGGCGTGGGAGCGTGGCAGTGAGGTGTGGGAAGCTGTAAGCCCCAGGCTACTTGGGGCTCGCCTTCCCATCAACCGGAGGCTAGGATTGGTGGTCGTGGTTACTTGTGCCCCCACCGAAGATGAACATCCGTGGAGGGATGCAGGCAAAGCCGATGAGTCGGATGCCTTCTATGACCTGTCACAGGTACTGGCTAAAGTGGCCCCTCGGGATAGAGTCATCTTGTTGGGCTACTTCAATGCCCGAGTTGGTCATGATGCTGGCACCTGGTCTGGAGTGATTGGAGGGCATGGGCCGGATCAGCTCAATAACAACGGTAGGCTGCTAGATTTTTGTGCAGCCCATGGGCTTGTAATTACCAACACGCTGTTCTGGCATCGGCGCATCCACACACCATCATGGATGCATGCCGGGTCCAAGCAAGATCATCTGCTGGACTACATAGTGACGGACCAGTGGATGCGAGCCCATGTCCTTGACACCATGACGTACCGTGGAGCTGATCTGCCCTCTGACCATCGACTAGTCATCTGTAAGATGCGCTTGCCATTCTTCCACTCCGGTGGTGGGTGTACACCCAGGATGCCATTCCAACCTAAAGTGGCCTGGTCTCAGTTATCTGATGAAAGTTGCAAGCGAGAATTTCATCATCGCTTGCGGCTGGGATTGGCATCGTCCCTCACTCCTCCTGATGTCGAGGGTAGATGGCCGAGTTTTAGGACTGTGACTCATGCAGCTGCAATGGCTGCTTTGGGTGAGCGGTCCAGACCTCCACAGAGACCCTGGCTGACAGAGGAGGTGTTCAGGATGGTTGAGAAAAAGCGACAGGCCCACTGTTATCGGCTACAGAATCCCACATCAGAGAATGAGGAGGCTTACCGTAGCCTTCGCTCGGAGGTTCGGAGAGCCGCGAGGCGCTGCAAGGATGGGTGGTGGTCGCGGGTTGCTGAGTAGATGGAGTCTGCCTCAGTGGCCCGCGATCACAAATCTCTATTTAACTCCATCAAAAAAGTAACCTGCAGCGCCACACCTATTACCATCAGGGGAAAAAAACGGTGATCCAATCTCCGAACCCCAAGAACAGGTTTGCAGATTTGCTGAGCATTTCTGTGAGGTCCTGGGGGAAGGGAAATCCCTCAGCCTGGAAAACATCGTGGCACAAAGTGAGGATGACCCTGCTGAGGCTGCGGTGCCTCAAATATTGGAAGAAGTCACCTCCTGTGAGTGGCTGGCTGAGGTGCCATCTGTTGAGGAAGTACTGAAGGCGATCCAGAGTCTGAGACCAGGAAAGACACCGGGCAGAGATGATCTCCCAAGCGAAATGCTGAGAGAGGGTGGCGTTTGTGCACAGACTGCCCTACATGACATCATAACAACAGTCTGGACCACTGGACGGGTTCCGCAGAATTGGAAGGATCCCCTGGTGGTCCCCCTCTTTAAGAAGGGGGACCGCACAGACTGTAACAACTACAGGGGCATCTCACTCCTCAGTGTGCCGGGTAAGGCCCTGGCAAGGATTATTTAACATCGCCTTGCCAGGCACGCTGAGGAGAGGCTTGCGGAGCCCCAATGCGGTTTCAGGAAAGGGCATTAGTGATGCCGTAGTAGTGGTGGTGGTGTTGACGGCAGTAGTGGTGGTGGTGGTGATGGTAGTAGTGGTGGTAATGGTAGTAGTGGTGGTGGTGGTTGTGATGGTAGTAGTGGTGTTGGTGTTGTTGACGGTAGTAGTGGTGGTGATGGTAGTAGTGGTGGTGATGAAGGTGACGGGAGTGGTGGTGGTGATGGTAGTAGTGGTGGTGGTGGTGATGATGGTAGTATTGGTGGTGGTGATGGTAGTCGTGGTGGTGGTGATGATGGTGATGATGGTGACGGTAGTGGTGGTGGTGGTGATGTTGACGGTAGTAGTGGTGGTGATGGTAGTAGTGGTGGTGGTGGTTCTTGTGGTGATGGTAGTAGTGGTGGTGGTGATGGTAGTGGTGGTGGTGGTTGTGGTGACGGTAGTAGTGGTGGTGGTGGTAGTAGTGGTGGTGGTGGTGATGTTAGTAGTGGTGGTAGTAGTCGTGGTGGTGGAGGTGATGTTAGTAGTGGTGGTGGTGGTGACTGTAGTAGTGGTGGTGGTGACTGTAGTAGTTTTGGTGGTGGTGATGGTCATAGTTTCGGTGGTGGTGATGGTCGTAGTGGTGGTAGTGGTGGTGATGGTAGTAGTGGTGATGGTAGTAATGGTTGTGGTGGTGGTGATGGTAGTAGTGGTGGTGGTGATGGTAGTAGTGTTGGTGGTGGTGATAGTAGTAGTGGTGGTGGTGGTGGTGACGGTAGTGGTTGTAGTGATGGCGGTGATTTTAGTAGTGGTGGTGGTGATGACGCTCGTAGTAGTGGTGGTGACTGTAGTGGTGGTGATAGTAGTAGTGGTGGTGGTAGTGATGGTGGCAACGGTGGTGGTGGTGATGGCGGTAGTGGTGGTGGTGATGGTGATTGTAGTAGTGGTGGTGATGGTGACGCTAGTAGTAGTGGTGGTGACTGTAGTGGTGGTGATGGTAGTAGTGGTGGTGGTGACTGTAGTGGTAGTGGTGGTGGTGGTGATGGTAGTAGTGGTGGTGGTGACTGTAGTGGTGGTGGTGGTGATGGTAGTAGTGGTGGTGGTGACTGTAGTGGTGGTGGTGGTGATGGTAGTAGTGGTGGTGGTGACTGTCGTGGTGGTAGTGATGGTAGTAGTGGTGGTGGTGATGGTAGTAGTGGTGGTGGTGGTGACTGTAGTTGTGAGGGTGGTGACGCTAGTAGTGGTGGTGACTGTAGTGGTGGTGACTGTAGTGGTGACGGTGGTGACACTAGTAGTGGTGGTGATGACTGCAGTAGTAGTGGTGTTGGTGACTAGTGGTGGTAGTGGTGACGTTCCACAGGACTTCTTTACGGAGTTGGTCATGAGTGAGGTGGTGGTGGTGGTGGTGGTGATGACTGTAGTGGTGGTGGTGATGCCTGTAGTAGTAGTGGTGATGACTGTAGTGGTGGTGGTGATGACTGTAGTGGTGGTGACGACGTTCCACAGGACTCCTTGACAGAGTTGGTGATGACTGTAGTGGTGGTGGTTATGACTGTAGTGGTGGTGGTGATGACTGTAGTGGTGGTGGTGATGACTGTAGTTCTGGTGACAGCGTTCCGCAGGACTTCCTGACGGAGTTGGTCATGAGTGAGGTGGTGGTGGTGGTGATGGTAGTAGTGGTGGTGGTGGTTGTTGTGGTGATGGTAGTAGTGGTGGTGTTGATGGTAGTGGTGGTGGTGGTTGTGGTGACGGTAGTAGTGGTGGTGGTGGTAGTAGTGGTGGTGGTGGTGATGTTAGTAGTGGTGGTAGTAGTCGTGGTGGTGGAGGTGATGTTAGTAGTGGTGGTGGTGACTGTAGTAGTGGTGGTGGTGGTGACTGTAGTAGTTTTGGTGGTGGTGATGGTCATAGTTTCGGTGGTGGTGATGGTCGTAGTGGTGGTAGTGGTGGTGATGGTAGTAGTGGTGATGGTAGTAATGGTTGTGGTGGTGGTGATGGTAGTAGTGGTGGTGGTGATGGTAGTAGTGTTGGTGGTGGTGATGGTAGTAGTAGTGGTGGTGGTGGTGGTGATGGTAGTGGTTGTAGTGACGGCGGTGATTTTAGTAGTGGTGGTGGTGATGACGCTCGTAGTAGTGGTGGTGACTGTAGTGGTGGTGATAGTAGTAGTGGTGGTAGTGATGGTGGCAACGGTGGTGGTGGTGATGGCGGTAGTGGTGGTGGTGATGGTGATTGTAGTAGTGGTGGTGATGGTGACGCTAGTAGTAGTGGTGGTGACTGTAGTGGTGGTGATGGTAGTAGTGGTGGTGGTGACTGTAGTGGTAGTGGTGGTGGTGATGGTAGTAGTGGTGGTGGTGACTGTAGTGGTGGTGATGGTAGTAGTGGTGGTGGTGACTGTAGTGGTGGTGGTGGTGATGGTAGTAGTGGTGGTGGTGACTGTCGTGGTGGTAGTGATGGTAGTAGTGGTGGTGGTGATGGTAGTAGTGGTGGTGGTGGTGACTGTAGTTGTGAGGGTGGTGACGCTAGTAGTGGTGGTGACTGTAGTGGTGGTGACTGTAGTGGTGACGGTGGTGACACTAGTAGTGGTGGTGATGACTGCAGTAGTAGTGGTGTTGGTGACTGTAGTGGTGGTAGTGGTGACTGTAGTGGTGGTGGTGGTGACTAGTGGTGGTAGTGGTGACGTTCCACAAGACTTCTTTACGGAGTTGGTCATGAGTGAGGTGGTGGTGGTGGTGGTGGTGATGACTGTAGTGGTGGTGGTGATGCCTGTAGTAGTAGTGGTGATGACTGTAGTGGTGGTGGTGATGACTGTAGTGGTGGTGACGACGTTCCACAGGACTCCTTGACGGAGTTGGTGATGACTGTAGTGGTGGTGGTTATGACTGTAGTGGTGGTGGTGATGACTGTAGTGGTGGTGATTACTGTAGTGGTGGTGGTGGTGATGACTAGTTCTGGTGACAGCGTTCCGCAGGACTTCCTGACGGAGTTGGTCATGAGTGAGGTGGTGGTGGTGGTGGTGATGACTGTAGTAGTGGTAGTCATGACTGTAGTGGTGGTGGTGACTGTAGTGGTGGTGGTGACTGTAGTAGTGGTGGTGATGACTGTAGTGGTCGTGGTGATGACTGTAGTGGTGGTGGTGATGACTGTAGTTCTGGTGACAGCGTTCCGCAGGACTTCCTGACGGAGTTGGTCATGAGTGAGGTGGTGGTGGTGGTGACGCTGGTAGTAGTAGTGGTGGTGATGACTGTAGTGGTGGTGATGACTGTAGTGGTGATGAAGACGTTCCACAGGACTTCCTGTCGGAGTTGGTGATGAGTGAGGTGGTGGTAGTGGTGGTGATGACTGTAGTGGTGGTGATGATGACTGTAGTTCTGGTGACGATGTTCCGCAGGACTTCCTGACGGAGTTGGTGATGACTGTAGTGGTGGTGGTGATGGTGACTGTAGTGGTGGTGATGACTGTGGTAGTAGTAGTAGTGGTGGTGGTGATGACTGTAGTGGTGGTGGTGATGACTGTAGTTCTGGTGATGACGTTCCGCAGGACTTCCTGGCGGAGTTGGTCATCAGTGAGGTGGTGATGGTAGTGGTGGTGATGACTGTAGTGTTGGTAGTGATGACTGTAGTGGTGGTAGTGATGACTGTAGTGGTGGTGGTGGTGATGACTGTAGTAGTAGTGGTGATGACTGTAATGGTAGTGGTGATGACTGTAGTTCTGGTGACGACGTTCCGCAGGACTTCCTGACGGAGTTGGTGATGAGTGAGGTGGTGGTAGTGGTGATGATGACTGTAGTGGTGATGGTGTTGGTGGTGACTGTAGTAGTGGTGGTGGTGATGACTTTAGTGGTGGTGATGACTGTAGTGGTGGTGGTGATGACTGTAGTGGTGGTGGTGATGACTGTAGTGGTGGTGACGACATTCCGCAGGATTTCCTGACGGAGTTGGTGATGACTGTAGTGGTGGTGATGACTGTAGTGGTGGTGGTGATGACTAGTTCTGGTGACGATGTTCCGCAGGACTTCCTGATAGAGTTGGTCATGAGTGAGGTGGTGATGGTGGTGGTGGTGACTGTAGTAGTGGTGGTGGTGATGACTGTAGTGGTGGTGATGACTGTGGTGGTGGTGGTGGTGGTGATGACTGTAGTGGTGGTGATGACTGTGGTGGTGATGGTGGTGGTGGTGATGACTGTAGTGGTGGTGATGACTGTAGTTCTGGTGACGACGTTCCGCAGGACTTCCTGACGGAGTTGGTCATGAGTGAGGTGGTGACTGTAGTGGTGGTGACTGTAGTAGTGGTGGTGTTGATGACTGTAGTGGTAGTGACGACGTTCCGCAGGACTTCCTGACGGAGTTGGTCATGAGTGAGGTGGTGATGGTAGTGGTGGTGATGTCTGTAGTGGTGGTAGTGATGACTGTAGTGGTGGTGGTGGTGGTGATGACTGTAGTAGTAGTGGTGATGACTGTAGTGGTGGTGGTGATGACTGTAGTCGTGGTGACGACGTTCCGCAGGACTTCCTGACGGAGTTGGTCATGAGTGAGGTGGTGGTGGTGGTGACTGTAGTAGTGGTGGTGGTGATGAGTGAGGTGGTGATGGTGGTGGTGGTGACTGTAGTGGTGGTGGTGATGACTGTAGTGGTGGTGAAGACTGTAGTGGTGGTGACGACGTTCCGCAGGACTTCCTGACGGAGTTGGTCATGAGTGAGGTGGTGGTGGTGACTGTAGTAGTGGTGGTGGTGACTGTAGTAGTGGTGGTGGTGATGAGTGAGGTGGTGATGGTGGTGGTGGTGATGACTGTAGTGGTGGTAGTGATGACTGTAGTGGTGGTGGTGATGACTGTAGTAGTAGTGGTGATGACTGTAGTGGTGGTGGTGATGAATGTAGTTCTGGTGACGACCTTCTGCAGGACTTCCTGATGGAGTTGGTCATGAGTGAGGTGGTGACTGTAGTGGTGGTGACTGTAGTAGTGGTGGTGTTGATGACTGTAGTGGTGGTGACGACGTTCCGCAGGTCTTCCTGACGGAGTTCGTCATGAGTGAGGTGGTGATGGTAGTGGTGGTGATGTCTGTAGTGGTGGTGGTGATGACTGTAGTGGTGGTCACGACGTTCCGCAGGACTTCCTGACGGAGTTGGTCATGAGTGAGGTGGTGATGGTGGTGGTGGTGATGACTGTAGTGGTGGTGATGACTGTAGTTCTGGTGACGACGTTCCGCAGGACTTCCTGACGGAGTTGGTCATGAGTGAGGTGGTGGTGGTGACTGTAGTAGTGGTGGTGGTGATGACTGTAGTGGTGGTGGTGATGACTGTAGTGGTGATGACGACGTTCCGCAGGACTTCCTGACGGAGTTGGTGATGACTGTAGTGGTGGTGATGACTGTAGTGGTGGTGGTGATTACTGTAGTTCTGGTGACGACGTTCCTCAGGACTTCCTGACGGAGTTGGTCATGAGTGATGTGGTGGTGGTGGTGGTGGTGGTGATGACTGTAGTGGTGGTGGTGGTGACTGTAGTGGTGGTGATGACGTTCCGCAGGACTTCCTGACGGAGTTGGTGATGACTGTAGTGGTGGTTGTGATGGTGACTATAGTGGTGGTGATGACTGTGGTAGTAGTAGTAGTGGTGGGGGTGATGACTGTAGTGGTGGTGGTGATGACTGTAGGGTGGTAATGACGTTCCGCAGAACTTCCTGACGGAGTTGGTGATGACTGTAGTGTTGGTGGTGATGATGGCTGTAGTGGTGGTGATGACTGTGGTAGTAGTAGTAGTGGTGGTGGTGATGACTGTAGTGGTGGTGGTGATGACTGTAGCGGTGGTGACGACGTTCCGCAGAACTTCCTGACGGAGTTGGTGATGACTGTAGTGGTGGTGGTGATGATGACTGTAGTGGTGGTGATGACTGTGGTAGTAGTAGTAGTGGTGGTGGTGATGACTGTAGTGGTGGTGGTGATGACTGTAGTTCTGGTGACGACGTTCCGCAGGACTTCCTGACGGAGTTGGTCATGAGTGAGGTGGTGGTGGTGACTGTAGTAATGGTGGTGGTGGTGATGACTGTAGTGGTGGTGACGACGTTCCGCAGGACTTCCTGACGGAGTTGGTCATGAGTGAGGTGGTGATGGTGGTGGTGGTGATGACTGTAGTGGTGGTGGTGATGACTGTAGTGGTGGTGACGACGTTCCGCAGGACTTCCTGACGGAGTTGGTCATGAGTGAGGTGGTGATGATGGTGGTGGTGGTGGTGATGACTGTAGTGGTGGTGACGACGTTCCGCAGGACTTCCTGACGGAGTTGGTCATGAGTGAGGTGGTGATGGTGGTGGTGGTGACTGTAGTAATGGTGGTGGTGGTGATGACTGTAGCGGTGGTGACGACGTTCCGCAGGACTTCCTGACGGAGTTGGTCATGAGTGAGGTGGATCGCCGCGGCTGCCACGCCGTGGGTGCGGCCGCGGGCGACGCTCCGGCCGCGCTGTTGGTGGACGAGGAGCTGGAGCCTCCTCTCCGCGAGAACTCCCTAGCAGCCAGGGCCACGGAGGAGTACCTGAAGCTGGTGGGGCAGCACTTCCTGCATCACGCACTCGGTGAGACGCTGGGCGCGGGGAGGGCGACTGGAGGTCAAGTGGGGGTCATGGGGGTTGCGGTGGGGGTCAAGGAGCGGTAGGGTAGAGGTCGAGGGAGAGGTCACGGTGGGGTCGTGGGGGTTGTGGTGGGGGCCGAGGGGAGGCAGTGTAGAGGTCGAGGGAGAGGTCACGGTGGGGTCGTGGGGAGGTCACGATGGGGTCGTGGTGAGGGTCGAGGAGAGGCAGTGTAGAGGTCGAGGGAGAGGTTACGGTGGGGTCGTGGGGAGGTCACGGTGGGGTCGTGGGGGTTGTGGTGGGGGTCGAGGGGCGGTAGGGTAGAGGTCGAGGGAGGGGTCACGGTGGGGTCGTAGGGAGGTCACGGTGGGGTCGTGGGGGTTGTGGTGGGGGCCGAGGGGAGGCAGTGTAGAGGTCGAAGGAGGGGTCATCGGGGTCGTAGGGAGGTCACGGTGGGGTCGTGGGGAGGTCACGGCGGTCGTGGCGGAGGTCACGGGGGGTTAAGGGAGGGGTAAATGGGGTCGTGAAGAGGTCAAGGGGAGGTCACGTGGGGGTCAAGGAGTACGTGAAGGTGGGGTGAGGGGGGTGAGTCGTGGGGCGCTTTGAGAGGGGTCCTTGTGGGGGTCTTGGGGGGCTCAAGGAGGCACTGCCGGGGTCAAGGGAGTGACGGAGGTTAAGGTGGTGTGTGTGTGGTGTGTGTGTGTATGTGTGTGTGGTGTGTGTGGTGTGTGTGTGTGGTGTGTGTGGTGTGTGTGGTGTGGGTGTGTGTGTGGTGTGTGTGTGGTGTGTTTGTGGTGTGTGTGTGGTGTGTGTGTGGTGTGTGGTGTGGTGTGTGTGTGTGTGTGAGTGGTGTGTGTGTGGTGTGTGGTGTGTGTAGTGTGTGTTGTGGTGTGTGTGTGTGGTGTGGTGTGTGGTGTGTGTATGTGTGTGTGTGGTGTGTGTGGTGTGTGTGTGTGTGTGGTGTGTGTATGTGTGTGTGGTGTGTGTGTGTGGTGTGTGTGTGGTGTGTGTTTGGTGTGTATGTGTGGTGTGTGTATGTGTGTGTGTGGTGTGTGTGTGGTGTGTGTGTGTGTGGTGTGTGTATGTGTGTGTGGTGTGTGTGTGTGTGGTGTGTGTGTGGTGTGTGTTTGGTGTGTGTATGTGTGGTGTGTGTATGTGTGTGTGTGGTGTGTGTGTGGTGTGTGTGTGTGGTGCTGTGTGTGTGTGTGGTGTGTGTGGTGTGTGTGGTGAGTGTGTGTGTGTGCAGGTGAGTTTGTGTAGTGTATGTGTGTGTATGTGAGTGAGTGTATGTGTAGTGTATGTATGTGTGTGTATGTGTGTGGTATGTGTGTGTGTATGTGTGTGTGTGCAGGTGAGTTTGTGTATGTGAGTGAGTGTATGTGTATGTATGTGTGTGTATGTATGTGGATGTGTGTGTATGTGAGTGTATGTGTATGTATGTGTGTGTATGTATGTGTGTGTGTGCAGGTGAGTTTGTGCGAGCTCTCTACGAGTCGGAGGAGGCTTGTGAGGTGGACCCCGGCCGCTGCTCCGGCTCGGAGCTCCGTGACAATCGCAGCAACCTCACCATGTGCTGTGAGCTCGCCTTGTGCAAGATCCTCAACTCGTACTGGTGCGTGTCACACCACGTCACACCACGTCACACCACGTCACACCACACCACACCACAGCAACCTCACCATGTGCTGTGAGCTCGCCTTGTGCAAGATCCTCAACTCCTACTGGTACGCGTCACACCACGTCACACCACGTCACACCACGTCACACCACGTCACGTCACAACAACCTCACCATGTGCTGTGAGCTCGCCTTGTGCAAGATCCTCAACTCGTACTGGTGCGTGTCACACCACGTCACACCACGTCACACCACGTCACACCACGTCACACCACACCACGTCACAACAACCTCACCATGTGCTGTGAGCTCGCCTTGTGCAAGATCCTCAACTCGTACTGGTGCGCGTCACACCACGTCACACCACGTCACACCACGTCACACCACGTCACAACAACCTCACCATGTGCTGTGAACTCGCCTTGTGCAAGATCCTCAACTCGTACTGGTGCGCGTCACACCACACCACGTCACACCACGTCACACCACGTCACAGCAACCTCACCATGTGCTGTGAGCTCGCCTTGTGCAAGATCCTCAACTCGTACTGGTGCGTGTCACACCACGTCACACCACGTCACACCACGTCACACCACACCACACCACAGCAACCTCACCATGTGCTGTGAGCTCGCCTTGTGCAAGATCCTCAACTCCTACTGGTACGCGTCACACCACGTCACACCACGTCACACCACGTCACACCACGTCACGTCACAACAACCTCACCATGTGCTGTGAGCTCGCCTTGTGCAAGATCCTCAACTCGTACTGGTGCGTGTCACACCACGTCACACCACGTCACACCACGTCACACCACGTCACACCACACCACGTCACAACAACCTCACCATGTGCTGTGAGCTCGCCTTGTGCAAGATCCTCAACTCGTACTGGTGCGCGTCACACCACGTCACACCACGTCACACCACGTCACACCACGTCACAACAACCTCACCATGTGCTGTGAACTCGCCTTGTGCAAGATCCTCAACTCGTACTGGTGCGCGTCACACCACACCACGTCACACCACGTCACACCACACCACGTCACAACAACCTCACTATGTGCTGTGAGCTCGCCTTGTGCAAGATCCTCAACTCGTACTGGTGCGCGTCACACCACGTCACACCACGTCACACCATGTCACACCACGTCACACCACGTCACACCACGTCACAGCAACCTCACCATGTGCTGTGAGCTAGCCTTGTGCAAGATCCTCAACTCGTACTGGTGCGCGTCACACCACGTCACACCGCGTCACACCACGTCACACCACGTCACACCACGTCACAACAACCTCACCATGTGCTGTGAGCTCGCCTTGTGCAAGATCCTCAACTCGTACTGGTGCACGTCACACCACGTCACACCACGTCACACCACGTCACTCCACGTCACACCACGTCACACCACGTCACACCACGTCACACCACGTCACAACAACCTCACCATGTGCTGTGAGCTCGCCTTGTGCAAGTTCCTCAACTCATACTGGTGCGTGTCACACCACGTCACACCACGTCACACCACGTCACACCACGTCACACTGCACCACGTCACACCACGTCACACCGCGTCACACGTCACACCACACCTCCAGTGTGTGTCTCTGTGTATCTCTGTGTGTCTCTGTGTGTCTCTCTGTCTCTGTGAGTCTCTGTGTGTCTCTGTGTGTCTCTGTGTCTCTCTCTGTCTCTGTGTGTCTCTGTGTGTCTCTCTCTGTGTGTCTCTCTCTGTGTGTCTCTCTCTGTGTGTCTCTGTGTCTCTCTGTCTTGCTCTGTGTGTCTGTGTGTGTCTCTATGTGTCTCTGTGTATCTCTGTGTGTCTCTGTGTCTCTCCGTGTCTCTCTGTGTCTCTGTGTGCCTCTCTGTGTGTCTCTGTGTGTCTCTGTGTGTCTCTCTGTGTGTCTCTGTGTGTCTCTCTGTGAGTCTCTGTGTGCCTCTCCCCGTGTGCCCCCCTTCACAGCGAGTTCCCGCGCGAGCTCAAGGAGCTCTTTGCCGCCTGGCGCCAGCGCTGCGAGGCTCTGGGGCGCCGCGGCGCTGGCTCGGGCGTGCCGCTGGCCGGGCGGCTCGTGGCGGCGGCTCTGTTCCGGCGATTCCTGTGCCCGGCCATCGCCTCCCCGGCGCTCTTCGGCCTGGCCCTGGAAGCGCCCGGAGAGAGAACGGAGCGGTCGCTGGCGCTCATCGCCACGGTGCTGCACAAGCTCGCCGCCTTCGGCAGGTACACTACACTGTACACCACACTGTACTGTGCACTGTGCACCACTACACTGTACACTACACTGTACACTACTATACACTACACTATAAACTACACTGTACACTACACTACTATACACTACACTACTACACTATACACTACACTATACACTACACTATACACTACACTATACACTACACTATACACTACACCATACACTACACTATACACTACTATGTACTACACTGCACACTACACTATACACTACACTATACACTACACTATACACTACACTATACACTACCCTATACACTACACTACTACACTATACACTACACTACAAACTACACTATACACTACACACTACACTACACTATACAATACACTACACACTACACTACACACTACACTATACACTACACTATACACTACACTATACACTACACTACTATACACTATACACTACACTATACACTACACTGTACACTACACTATACACTACTATACACTACACTATACATTACACTATACACTACTATACACTACACTATACACTACACTATACACTACACTATGCACTACACTATACACTACACTATACACTACTATACACTACACTATACACTACACTATACAATACACACTACACTACACTATACACTACTCTACTATACACTACACTATACACTACTATACACTACACTATACACTACACTACTATGTACTACACTGCACACTATACACTACACTATACACTACTATACACTACACTATACATTACACTATACACTACACTACTATACACTACACTATACACTAAACTACTATACACTACACTACTATACACTATACACTACACTACTATACACTACACTATACACTACCCTATACACTACACTACTACACTATACACTACACTACAAACTACACTACACTATACACTACACTATACAATACACTACACTACACACTACACTACACACTATACACTACACTATACACTACTATACACTACCCTATACACTACACTACTACACTATACACTACACTAAAAACTACACTATACACTACACACTACACTACACACTACACTTCACACTATACACTACTATACACTATACACTACTATACACTACACTATACACTACTATACACTACACTATACACTACTATACACTACACTACACACTACACTACTACACTACACTACTACACTACACACTACACTACACACTACTACACACTACACTACACACTACACTACACTACTACACTACTACACTACACATTACACTACACACTACACTACACACTACACTACACACTACTACACACTACACTACACACTACACTACACACTACACTATACACTACACACTACACTACCCACTACACTATACACTACACACTACACTACCCACTACACTACACACTACACTACACACTACACTATACACTACTACACTACACACTACACTATACACTACACACTACACTACCCACTACACTATACACTACACACTACACTACCCACTACACTACACTACACACTACACTACACACTACACTACACACTACACTATACACTACTACACTACACACTACACTATACACTACACACTACACTACCCACTACACTATACACTACACACTACACTACCCACTACACTACACTACACACTACACTACACACTACACTACACACTACACTACACACTACTATACACTACACTACACACTACACACTACCCTATACACTACACTACTACACTACACTACTACACTACCCTATACACTACACTACTACACTACACTATACACTACTACACTACACTATACACTACACTACATACTACTATACACTACACACTACACTATACACTACCCACTACACTACACACTACACTACTACACACTACACACTACACTACACACTACACTATACACTACACACTACACTACACACTACGCTACACACTACACTACACACTACACTACACACTACTATACACTACACTACACACTACACACTACACTACACACTACACTACCCACTACACACTACACTACTACACTACACTACCCACTACACTACGCGCGTGCAGGTTTGGCAGCCACGACTGCGGCCTGGCCTTCATGAACGACTTCCTGGAGGCGTCCGGCACCGCCGCCCGGCGGCTCCTGGCCGACGTTTCGGCGGGCGATGGGGCCGGCACCGTGGCCGGCTTTGACGGATACATCGACCTGGGCCACGAGCTGGCCAGCCTGCACGGCCTCCTGCTAGAGGTCACGCAGCAGCTGGACCAGGTGATGCAGGATGAGGAGGAGGAGGAGGAGGTTTCGTAGAACAGCGTGGAGCCAACACCACCACCACGCACTCCATCCACCACCACCTCCTCTCGCCTCTCCCCTCCCTCTTCACTGTGTTGTGTACTCGCCACTTGGTCTACGTTCACCGTGACGTGTGTTGTTTTAACGCTTTGTGTTAGTTCATCATGCCGTGTGTTGTTTTAACGCTTTGTGTTAGTTCATCATGTGTGTTGTTTTAACACTTTGTGTTAGTTCATCATGACGTGTGTTGTTTTAACGCGTTGTCTTAGTTCACCATGTCGTGTGTTGTTTTAACACTTTGTGTTAGTTCACGATGCCGTGTGTTGTTTTAACACTTTGTCTTAGTTCATCATGCCGTGTGTTGTTTTAACACTTTGTGTTAGTTCATCATGCCGTGTGTTGTTTTAACGCTTTGTGTTAGTTCATCATGCGTGTTGTTTTAACACTTTGTGTTAGTTCACCATGTGTGTTGTTTTAACACTTTGTGTTAGATCACCATGTCGTGTGTTGTTTTAACACTTTGTGTTAGTTCATCATGTCGTGTGTTGTTTTAACACTTTGTCTTAGTTCACCATGTGTGTTGTTTTAACACTTTGTGTTAGTTCACCATGCCGTGTGTTGTTTTAACACTTTGTGTTAGTTCATCAAGCCGTGTGTTGTTTTAACACTTTGTGTTAGTTCACCATGTCGTGTGTTGTTTTAACACTTTGTCTTAGTTCACCATGACGTGTGTTGTTTTACCACTTTGTGTTAGTTCATCATGTCGTGTGTTGTTTTAACACTTTGTCTTAGTTCATCATGCCGTGTGTTGTTTTAACACTTTGTCTTAGTTCACCATGACGTGTGTTGTTTTACCACTTTGTGTTAGTTCATCATGTCGTGTGTTGTTTTAACACTTTGTGTTAGTTCATCATGTCGTGTGTTGTTTTAACGCTTTGTCTTAGTTCATCATGCCGTGTGTTGTTTTAACGCTTTGTCTTAGATCACCATGTCGTGTGTTGTTTTAACACTTTGTGTTAGTTCACCATGTCGTGTGTTGTTTTAACACTTTGTGTTAGTTCACCATGTTGTGTGTTGTTTTAACACTTTGTGTTAGATCACCACGCCGTGTGTTGTTTTAACACTTTGTGTTAGTTCATCATGCCGTGTGTTGTTTTAACACTTTGTGTTAGATCACCACGCCGTGTGTTGTTTTAACACTTTGTGTTAGTTCACCATGTCGTGTGTTGTTTTAACACTTTGTCTTAGTTCACCATGCCGTGTGTTATTTTAACACTTTGTGTTAGTTCATCAAGCCGTGTGTTGTTTTAACACTTTGTGTTAGTTCATCACGCTGTGTGTTGTTTTAACACTTTGTGTTAGTTCACCATGCCGTGTGTTGTTTTAACGCTTTGTGTTAGTTCACCATGCCGTGTGTTGTTTTAACACTTTGTGTTAGTTCATCATGCCGTGTGTTGTTTTAACACTTTGTGTTAGTTCATCAAGCCGTGTGTTGTTTTAACACTTTGTGTTAGTTCATCACGCTGTGTGTTGTTTTAACACTTTGTGTTAGTTCACCATGCCGTGTGTTGTTTTAACGCTTTGTGTTAGTTCACCACGCCGTGTGTTGTTTTAACACTTTGTGTTAGTTCATCATGCCGTGTGTTGTTTTAACACTTTGTGTTAGATCACCACGCCGTGTGTTGTTTTAACGCTTTGTGTTAGATCACCATGTCGTGTGTTGTTTTAACACTTTGTGTTAGTTCATCATGTCGTGTGTTGTTTTAACACTTTGTCTTAGTTCACCATGTGTGTTGTTTTAACACTTTGTGTTAGTTCACCATGCCGTGTGTTGTTTTAACACTTTGTGTTAGTTCATCAAGCCGTGTGTTGTTTTAACACTTTGTGTTAGTTCATCATGTTGTGTGTTGTTTTAACACTTTGTCTTAGTTCATCATGTCGTGTGTTGTTTTAACGCTTTGTGTTAGTGCACCATGCCGTGTGTTGTTTTAACACTTTGTGTTAGTTCATCATGTCGTGTGTTGTTTTAACACTTTGTGTTAGTTCATCATGACTTGTGTTGTTTTAACACTTTGTCTTAGTTCATCATGTCGTGTGTTGTTTTAACACTTTGTCTTAGTTCACCATGTCGTGTGTTGTTTTAACACCTTGTGTTAGTTCATCAAGTCGTGTATTGTTTTAACACTTTATGTTAGTTCATCATGCCGTGTGTTGTTTTAACACTTTGTGTTAGATCACCACGCCGTGTGTTGTTTTAACACTTTGTGTTAGTTCACCACACCGTGTGTTATTTTAACACTTTGTGTTAGTTCACCATGTCGTGTGTTGTTTTAACACTTTGTCTTAGTTCACCATGCCGTGTGTTGTTTTAACACTTTGTGTTAGTTCATCAAGCCGTGTGTTGTTTTAACACTTTGTGTTAGTTCATCACGCTGTGTGTTGTTTTAACACTTTGTGTTAGTTCACCATGCCGTGTGTTGTTTTAACACTTTGTGTTAGTTCACCACGCCGTGTGTTGTTTTAACACTTTGTGTTAGATCATCATGCTGTGTGTTGTTTTAACACTTTGTGTTAGTTCATCATGTCGTGTGTTGTTTTAACGCTTTGTGTTAGTTCATCATGCCGTGTGTTGTTTTAAAACTTTGTGTTAGTTCATCACACCGTGTGTTGTTTTAACACTTTGTGTTAGTTCACCATGCCGTGTGTTGTTTTAACACTTTGTGTTAGTTCATCATGTCGTGTGTTGTTTTAACACTTTGTCTTAGTTCACCATGTCGTGTGTTGTTTTAACACCTTGTGTTAGTTCATCATGCTGTGTGTTGTTTTAACACTTTGTGTTAGTTCACCATGACATGTGTTGTTTTAACACTTTGTGTTAGTTCACCATGCCGTGTGTTGTTTTAACACTTTGTGTTAGTTCACCATGTGTGTTGTTTTAACGCTTCGTGTTAGTTCACCATGTGTGTTGTTTTAACACTTTGTGTTATTTCACCATGTGTGTTGTTTTAACACTTTGTATTAGTTCACCATGTGTGTTGTTTTAACACTTTGTGTTAGTTCACCATGTGTGTTGTTTTAACACTTTGTGTTAGTTCATCATGAGTGTTGTTTTAACACTTTGTGTTAGTTCACCATGCCGTGTGTTGTTTTAACACTTTGTGTTAGTTCACCATGTGTGTTGTTTTAACGCTTTGTGTTAGTTCACCCTGTGTGTTGTTTTAACACTTTGTGTTAGTTCACTATGTGTGTTGTTTTAACGCTTTGTGTTAGTTCACCATGTGTGTTGTTTTAACACTTTGTCTTAGTTCACCATGTCGTGTGTTGTTTTAACACTTTGTGTTAGTTCACCACGCCGTGTGTTGTTTTAACACTTTGTCTTAGTTCATCATGTCGTGTGTTGTTTTAACACTTTGTGTTAGTTCATTATGTCGTGTGTTGTTTTAACGCTTTGTGTTAGTTCATCATGATGTGTGTTGTTTTACCACTTTGTGTTAGTTCACCACGCCGTGTGTTGTTTTAACACTTTGTCTTAGTTCATCATGTCGTGTGTTGTTTTAACACTTTGTCTTCATCATGTCGTGTGTTGTTTTAACACTTTGTGTTAGTTCACCACGTGTGTTGTTTTAACACTTTGTGTTAGTTCATCATGTCGTGTGTTGTTTTAACACTTTGTGTTAGTTCATCATGTCGTGTGTTGTTTTAATACTTTGTGTTAGTTCACCATGTGTGTTGTTTTAACACTTTGTGTTAGTTCATCATGATATGTGTTGTTTTAACACTTTGTGTTAGTTCATCATGTCGTGTGTTGTTTTAACACTTTGTGTTAGTTCACCATGCCGTGTGTTGTTTTAACACTTTGTCTTAGTTCACCATGTCGTGTGTTGTTTTAACGCTTTGTGTTAGTTCATTATGTCGTGTGTTGTTTTAACGCTTTGTGTTAGTTCATCATGTCGTGTGTTGTTTTAACACTTTGTGTTAGTTCATCATGTCGTGTGTTGTTTTAACACTTTGTGTTAGTTCACCATGTGTGTTGTTTTAACACTTTGTGTTAGTTCATCATGTCGTGTGTTGTTTTAACACTTTGTGTTAGTTCATCATGTCGTGTGTTGTTTTAACACTTTGTGTTAGTTCACCATGTGTGTTGTTTTAACACTTTGTGTTAGTTCATCATGATGTGTGTTGTTTTAACACTTTGTGTTAGTTCATCATGTCGTGTGTTGTTTTAACACTTTGTGTTAGTTCACCATGCCGTGTGTTGTTTTAACACTTTGTCTTAGTTCACCATGTCATGTGTTGTTTTAACGCTTTGTGTTAGTTCATTATGTCGCGTGTTGTTTTAACGCTTTGTGTTAGTTCATCATGTCGTGTGTTGTTTTAACGCTTTGTGTTAGTTCATCATGTCGTGTGTTGTTTTCACACTTTGTGTTAGTTCACCATGTGTGTTGTTTTAACACTTTGTGTTAGTTCATCATGTGTGTTGTTTTAACACTTTGTGTTAGTTCATCATGACGTGTGTTGTTTTAACACTTTGTCTTAGTTCACCATGTGTGTTGTTTTAACACTTTGTGTTAGTTCATCATGACGTGTGTTGTTTTAACACTTTGTGTTAGTTCACCATGCCGTGTGTTGTTTTAACACTTTGTGTTAGTTCACCATGCCGTGTGTTGTTTTAACACTTTGTGTTAGTTCATCATGTGTGTTGTTTTAAGACTTTGTCTTAGTTCATCATGATTGTGTAATGTTTTAACACTTTGTGTTAGTTCATCATGTGTGTTGTTTTAACACTTTGTGTTAGTTCACCGTGTGTGTTGTTTTAACACTTTGTGTTAGATCACCACGCCGTGTGATGTTTTAACACTTTGTGTTAGTTCATCATGTCGTGTGTTGTTTTAACACTTTGTCTTAGTTCACCATGTGTGTTGTTTTAACACTTTGTGTTAGTTCACCATGTGTGTTGTTTTAACACTTTGTGTTAGTTCACCATGTGTGTTGTTTTAACACTTTGTGTTAGTTCACCATGTGTGTTGTTTTAACACTTTGTGTTAGTTCACCATGTGTGTTGTTTTAATACTTTGTGTTAGATCACCACGCCGTGTGTTGTTTTAACACTTTGTGTTAGTTCACCATGTCGTGTGTTGTTTTAACACTTTGTCTTAGTTCATCATGTGTGTTGTTTTAACGCTTTGTGTTAGTTCACCATGTGTGTTGTTTGAACACTTTGTCTTCATCATGTCGTGTGTTGTTTTAACGCTTTGTGTTAGTTCATCATGTCGTGTGTTGTTTTAACGCTTTATGTTAGTTCATCACGCTGTGTGTTGTTTTAACGCTTTGTGTTAGTTCACCATGTGTGTTGTTTTAACACTTTGTCTTCATCATGTTGTGTGTTGTTTTAACGCTTTGTGTTAGTTCATCATGTCGTGTGTTGTTTTAACACTTTATGTTAGTTCATCACGCTGTGTGTTGTTTTAACGCTTTGTCTTAGTTCATCATGCCGTGTTTTGTTTTAACGCTTTGTCTTAGTTCACGCCGTGTGTTGTTTTAACACTTTGTGTTAGTTCACCATGTCGTGTGTTGTTTTAACACTTTATGTTAGTTCATCACGCTGTGTGTTGTTTTAACACTTTGTCTTAGTTCATCATGTCGTGTGTTGTTTTAACGCTTTGTGTTAGTTCATCATGACGTGTGTTGTTTTAACACTTTGTGTTAGTTCACCATGTGTGTTGTTTTAACACTTTGTGTTAGTTCACCATGTCGTGTGTTGTTTTAACACTTTGTGTTAGTTCACCATGTGTGTTGTTTTAACACTTTGTGTTAGTTCACCATGTGTGTTGTTTTAACACTTTGTCTTAGTTCACCATGCCGTGTGTTGTTTTAACACTTTGTGTTAGTTCACCATGTGTGTTGTTTTAACGCTTTGTGTTAGTTCACCATGTGTGTTGTTTTAACACTTTGTCTTAGTTCACCATGTCGTGTGTTGTTTTAACACTTTGTGTTAGTTCACCACGCCGTGTGTTGTTTTAACACTTTGTCTTAGTTCATCATGTCGTGTGTTGTTTTAACACTTTGTGTTAGTTCATTATGTCGTGTGTTGTTTTAACGCTTTGTGTTAGTTCACCACGCCGTGTGTTGTTTTAACACTTTGTCTTAGTTCACCATGTCGTGTGTTGTTTTAACACTTTGTCTTCATCATGTCGTGTGTTGTTTTAACACTTTGTGTTAGTTCACCACGTGTGTTGTTTTAACACTTTGTGTTAGTTCACCATGTCGTGTGTTGTTTTAACACTTTGTGTTAGTTCACCATGTGTGTTGTTTTAACACTTTGTCTTAGTTCACCATGTCGTGTGTTGTTTTAACGCTTTGTGTTAGTTCACCATGTGTGTTGTTTTAACACTTTGTGTTAGTTCACCATGACGTGTGTTGTTTTAACACTTTGTCTTAGTTCATCATGACGTGTGTTGTTTTAACACTTTGTGTTAGTTCACCATGTGTGTTGTTTTAACACTTTGTGTTAGTTCACCATGTGTGTTGTTTTAACACTTTGTGTTAGTTCACCATGCCGTGTGTTGTTTTAACACTTTGTGTTAGTTCACCATGCCGTGTGTTGTTTTAACACTTTGTGTTAGTTCACCATGTCGTGTGTTGTTTTAACACTTTGTGTTAGATCACCATGTGTGTTGTTTTAACACTTTGTGTTAGTTCACCATGTGTGTTGTTTTAATACTTTGTGTTAGATCACCACGCCGTGTGTTGTTTTAACACTTTGTGTTAGTTCACCATGTCGTGTGTTGTTTTAACACTTTGTCTTAGTTCATCATGTGTGTTGTTTTAACGCTTTGTGTTAGTTCACCATGTGTGTTGTTTGAACACTTTGTCTTCATCATGTCGTGTGTTGTTTTAACGCTTTGTGTTAGTTCATCATGTCGTGTGTTGTTTTAACGCTTTATGTTAGTTCATCACGCTGTGTGTTGTTTTAACGCTTTGTGTTAGTTCACCATGTGTGTTGTTTTAACACTTTGTCTTCATCATGTTGTGTGTTGTTTTAACGCTTTGTGTTAGTTCATCATGTCGTGTGTTGTTTTAACGCTTTATGTTAGTTCATCACGCTGTGTGTTGTTTTAACGCTTTGTCTTAGTTCATCATGCCGTGTGTTGTTTTAACGCTTTGTCTTAGTTCACGCCGTGTGTTGTTTTAACACTTTGTGTTAGTTCACCATGTCGTGTGTTGTTTTAACACTTTATGTTAGTTCATCACGCTGTGTGTTGTTTTAACACTTTGTCTTAGTTCATCATGTCGTGTGTTGTTTTAACGCTTTGTGTTAGTTCATCATGACGTGTGTTGTTTTAACACTTTGTGTTAGTTCACCATGTGTGTTGTTTTAACACTTTGTGTTAGTTCACCATGTCGTGTGTTGTTTTAACACTTTGTGTTAGTTCACCATGTGTGTTGTTTTAACACTTTGTGTTAGTTCACCATGTGTGTTGTTTTAACACTTTGTCTTAGTTCACCATGCCGTGTGTTGTTTTAACACTTTGTGTTAGTTCACCATGTGTGTTGTTTTAACGCTTTGTGTTAGTTCACCATGTGTGTTGTTTTAACACTTTGTCTTAGTTCACCATGTCGTGTGTTGTTTTAACACTTTGTGTTAGTTCACCACGCCGTGTGTTGTTTTAACACTTTGTCTTAGTTCATCATGTCGTGTGTTGTTTTAACACTTTGTGTTAGTTCATTATGTCGTGTGTTGTTTTAACGCTTTGTGTTAGTTCATCATGATGTGTGTTGTTTTAACACTTTGTGTTAGTTCACCACGCCGTGTGTTGTTTTAACACTTTGTCTTAGTTCACCATGTCGTGTGTTGTTTTAACACTTTGTCTTCATCATGTCGTGTGTTGTTTTAACACTTTGTGTTAGTTCACCACGTGTGTTGTTTTAACACTTTGTGTTAGTTCACCATGTCGTGTGTTGTTTTAACACTTTGTGTTAGTTCACCATGTGTGTTGTTTTAACACTTTGTCTTAGTTCACCATGTCGTGTGTTGTTTTAACGCTTTGTGTTAGTTCACCATGTGTGTTGTTTTAACACTTTGTGTTAGTTCACCATGACGTGTGTTGTTTTAACACTTTGTCTTAGTTCATCATGACGTGTGTTGTTTTAACACTTTGTGTTAGTTCACCATGTGTGTTGTTTTAACACTTTGTGTTAGTTCACCATGTGTGTTGTTTTAACACTTTGTGTTAGTTCACCATGCCGTGTGTTGTTTTAACACTTTGTGTTAGTTCACCACACCGTGTGTTGTTTTAACACTGTGTTAGTTCACCACACCGTGTGTTGTTTTAACACTTTGTCTTCGTGTACCCTCCCCCAGGCGACGTTGTCCCTCCTGGGTCCCCTTCCCCGCATCCTGGCCGAACTGAGTGCCTCCCTGGACAGCCCCACGCCACCGCTACCGCAGCTGCGGCGTCTCTCCGCCCGCTACAGCTCCACGCCAAACATCAACAACGGCGGTGGTGGTGGTGGTGGCGGTGGTGGCGGTGGTGGTGGCGGTGGTGGTGGTGGTGGCGGTGGTGGTGGTGGTGGTGAGAGCGGAGTCAGCAGCGTCCCCACCAGCCTCCAGCGCATCTTTGAGGAGGAGGGGTGTTCTGGGAATGTTGAGTGGAGAGGGTGCGGAGACATCACCACCACCACCAACCAACCAACCACCACCAACCACCAACACCACCAACCACAACCACCACCACCAACCATCACCACCACCAACCACCACAACCATCACCACCACCAACACCACCAACTACAACCACCAACCACCAACCATCACCACCACCAACCACCACAACCATCACCACCACCAACACCACCAACCACCAACACCACCAACCACAACCACCACCACCAACCACCACCAACCACCAACCATCACCACCACCACCAACCATCACCACCAACCACCACAACCATCACCACCACCAACACCACCAACCACCACAACCACCAACCACAACCCCCACCAACCACCACAACTACCAACCACTAACAACCACCACAACCACTAACACCAACCACCACCAACCACAACCGCTAACACCAACCATCACCACCTCCACCAACCAACACCAACCACCACCATCACCAACGACAACAACCACCAACCACCACCACCAACCACAACAACTACCAACCACCACCACCAACCACCACAACCACCACCAACCACCACCACTAACACCAACCACCACCAATCACCAACAGCAACAACCACCGTAAGCCTCTCCTTAGCGTGCCTGGCAAGGCGATGTTGAATAATCCTTGCCAGGACCTTTCCCGGCACACTGAGGAGTGAGATGCCCCTGTAGTTGTTACAGTCTGTGCGGTCCCCCTTCTTAAAGAGGGGGACCACCAGGGCATCCTTCCAATCCTGCGGAACCCGTCCAGTGGTCCAGACTGTTGTTATGATGTCATATAGGGCAGTCTGTGCACAAACGCCACCCTCCCTCAGCATGTCTCTTGGGAGATCATCTCTGCCCGGTGCCTTTCCTGGTCTCAGACTCCTGATCGCCTTCAGTACTTCCTCAACAGATGTCACCTCAGCCAGCCACTCACGGGGGGTGACTTCTTCCAATATTTGAGGCACCACAGCCTCAGCAGGGTCATCCCCACTTTGTGCCATGATGTTTTCCAGGCTGAGGGATTCCCCCTCCCCCAGGACCTCACAGAAATGCTCAGCAAATCTGCAAACCTGTTCCTGGGGGTCGGAGATTGGATCACCGTATTTTCCCCTAATGATGGTAATAGGTGTGGCGCTGCAGGTTACTTTTTTGATGGAGTTAAATAGAGATTTGTGATCACGGGCCACTGAGGCAGACTCCATCTCCTCAGCAACCCGTGACCACCACCCATCCTTGCAGCACCTCACGGCTCTCCGAACCTCCGAGCGAAGGCTGCGGTAAGCCTCCTCATTCTGTGACGTGGGATTCTGTAGCCGATGAGAGTGGGCCTGTCGCTTTTTCTCAATCATCCTGAACACCTCCTCTGTCAGCCAGGGTCTCTGGGGAGGTCTGGACCACGTACCCAAAGCAGCCATTGCAGCCGCATGAGTCACAGTCCTAAATCTCGCCCATTTACCCTCGACATCAGGAGTGGGGGACGATGCCAACCCCAGCCCCAAGCGATGATGAAATTCTCGCTTGCAACTTTCATCAGATAACCGAGACCAGGCCACTTTTGATTGGAATGGGGTCCTGGGTGTACACCCACCACCGGAGCGGAAGAATGGGCGGCGCATCTTACACAATGACAAGTCGATGGTCAGAGGGCAGATCAGCTCCATGGTAGGTCCTGGTGTCAAGGACATGGGCTCGCATCCGCTGGTCCATCACTATGTAGTCCAGAAGATGTTCTTGCTTGGACCCGGCATGCATCCATGATGTTGTGTGGATGCGCCGATGCCGGAACAGCGTGTTGTTAATTACAAGCCCATGGGCTGCACAAAAATCTAGCAGCCTCCTACCGTTGTTATTGAGCTGTTCTGGCCCATGCCCTCCAATCACTCCAGGCCAGGTGCCAGCATCATGACCAACTCGGGCATTGAAGTCACCCAACAAGATGACTCTATCCCGAGGGGCCACTTTAGCCAGCACCTGTGACAGGAGGTCATAGAAGGCATCTGACTCATCGGCTTTGTCTGCATCCCTCCACGGATGTTCGTCTTCGGTGGGGGCATAAGTAACCACGACCACCACTCCTCGCCTCCGATTGATGGGAAGGCGAGCCCAAAGTAGCTTGGGGCTTACAGCTTCCCACACCTCACCGCCACGCTCCCACGCCCCATTCATTCTTTTGTTCAGAAGAAGAGCCACACCCTGTTGTTTGGCAGTCTGCTGCCCCGAGTAGAGGACTGTCCACCCCTCATGGTGGCAGGAGCCAGAACCGGTCCACCGGACCTCCTGAATGCCACAGAGATCCAGGCGGTACCGGTCCAGCTCCCGACAGAGGAGCGGCAGCCTCTCCTCCGCAGTGAGCGTTCGAACATTCCACGTGGCCACACGCAGTGGCTTTTCGTTGTTTCTGGAGGAGCCCCGAGAGTAGAGATTCAATCTCCTGGCTCCGTCAATTGGGGTTTGGCCAGGAGACGTCATAGACGCCTGTCCCCCCGGGGCCTCCGGCACAAGCTTATTCGTTAGATATTTCAGTTTAACTCGTGGTTTCGTGGTAATTAATTGAAGGTGGAGGGGTTACCAGCCCCTCGCACCCGTCCAGAGCCCCCGTTTAGCCCCTGTGGTGGTCACAGACGCCATGAGAGGAGGAACCAATTGGAATTGGCCCTCCCCCCACAGCACTGTCCACGACAGAGTCGCCCGTCCGGCACCGCGAGGAGGTAGGGGGTTGTTTTGCCGGACTAACACACACACATACACACAGACAAACACACAGACACACACACATAGACACACACACACACAGACACACACACAGACACACACAGTCACGTGCTCACTCAACCTTGCCAATGTCGCCCCCCCCCTTCTCTCCGGCCTAGGTTCGACTTCCCCAGGAAATCCTCCACCACCACCACCATCACCACTCAGGACAACGACGGTGGTGGTGGTGGTGGTGGCAGTGGTGGTGTTGCCGGTGGTGGTGGTGGTGTTGCTGGTGGTGATGTTGGTATTGTTGCTGGTGGTGGTGGTGGTGGATCGTTCTACCGAGCGTCGTCATCCCAGTCCCACTTGGCCACCGCCGCCGCCGCCGTCGTCGCAAAAAGTGACGGGACGTCTCGCTCACTCCACCACGCCTCCACCTCCTCCTCGTCCTCTTCCTCCACTCATCAGCATCAGCAGCATCAGCAGCAGCATCAGCAGCAGCAGCAGCATCAGCAGCAGCAGCATCATCATCATCAGCAGCAGCATCAGCAGCATCACGCGCCACGCTGGAACGGCAGCAAAAGCCTCTCGCTGCTCGACCTGCAGCCAGAGAGACACGCGGCTGAGAGAGCCCTGGACCAACGGTCCTGGACCACCACATCCGACCACCACCACCACCACCACCACCACAACAACAACAACCACCACCACGACCAACAACAACAGCAGCAGCAGCAGCAGCAGCAGCTCCAGCCGCTGTCCTTTCAGAACCCCCTCTACAACTTCTCGGCGGTCGCCGCGCAACAGAGGGGCGGTGGTGGCGGTGGTGGTGGTGGTGGTGGTGGCGGCGGTGGGAGAGGAGGAGGAGGAGGTCGAGCCGGAGACTCGGAGGAGGTGACCAAGCACCACACGTACAGCGGCACCGAGGACCTGGTGAGACGGGGAGGTGCAGTGATGCAGCAGCAGCTGCAGCAGCAGCAGCAGCAGCTGCAGCAGGGAAAGATCAACAGCCTGGGAGCACAGTGGCGAATGGAGGGTGAGTGATGATGATGCTGCTGCTACTACTGCTGCTACTGCTGCTACTGCTGCTTCTGTTTCTCCTGCTGCTGCTACTACTGCTGCTGCTACTGCTGCTGCTACTGCTGCTACTGCTGCTGCTACTGTTTCTCCTGCGGCTGCTGCAGCCACATAGTCTGTGTGTCTCTGTGTGTGTCACTACAGGTCTACAAAGAGCCCCATGGTGATACACACAGTGTCTGTGTGTCTCTGTGTGTGTCACTAGTGGTCTACATAGAGACCCATTGTGATACACACAGTGTCTGTGTGTCTCTGTGTTTGTCACTACAGGTCTACATAGAGACCCATGGTGATACACACATAGTCTGTGTGTCTCTGTGTGTCTCACTACAGGTCTACATAGAGACCCATGGTGATACACACAGTGTCTGTGAGTCTCTGTGTGTATCACTACAGGTCTACATAGAGACCCATGGTGATACACAGAGTGTCTGTGTGTCTCTGTGTCACTAGAGGTCTACATAGAGCCCCATGGTGATACACACAGAGTCTGTGTGTCTCTGTGTGTGTCACTACAGGTCTACACAGAGACCCATGGTGATACACACAGAGTCTGTGTGTCTCTGTGTGTGTCACTACAGGTCTACACAGAGACCCATGGTGATACACACAGTGTCTGTGTGTCTCTGTGTGTGTCACTACAGGTCTACATAGAGCCCCATGGTGATACACACAGTGTTTGTGTGTCTCTGTGTGTGTCACTACAGGTCTACACAGAGACCCATGGTGATACACACAGTGTTTGTGTGTCTCTGTGTGTGTCACTACAGGTCTACACAGAGACCCATGGTGATACACACAGTGTCTGTGTGTCTCTGTGTGTGTCACTACAGGTCTACATAGAGACCCATGGTGATACACACAGAGTCTGTGAGTCTCTGTGTGTGTCACTACAGGTCTACATAGAGACCCATGGTGATACACACAGAGTCTGTGAGTCTCTGTGTGTGTCACTACAGGTCTACATAGAGACCCATGGTGATACACACAGTGTCTGTGTGTCTCTGTGTGTGTCACTACAGGTCTACATAGAGACCCATGGTGATACACACAGTGTCTGTGTGTCTCTGTGTGTGTCACTACACGTCTACATAGAGACCCATGGTGATACACACAGTGTCTGTGTGTCTCTGTGTGTGTCACTACGGTCTACATAGAGACCCATGGTGATACACACAGGTCTGTGTGTCTCTGTGTGTGTCACTACAGGTCTACATAGAGACCCATGGTGATACACACAGTGTTTGTGTGTCTCTGTGTGTCACTACACGTCTTCATAGAGACCCATGGTGATACACACAGTGTCTGTGTGTCTCTGTGTTTGTCACTACAGGTCTACATAGAGACCCATGGTGATACACACAGTGTTTGTGTGTCTCTGTGTGTGTCACTAGAGGTCTACATAGAGACCCATGGTGACACACACAGAGTCTGTGTGTCTCTGTGTGTGTCACTACATGTCTACATAGAGACCCATGGTGATACACAGTGTCTGTGTGTCTCTGTGTGTGTTACTACAGGTCTACATAGAGACCCATGGTGATACACACAGAGTCTGTGTGTCTCTGTGTGTGTCACTAGAGGTCTACATAGAGACCCATGGTGATACACACAGTGTCTGTGAGTCTCTGTGTGTGTCACTACAGGTCTACATAGAGACCCATGGTGATACACACAGTGTCTGTGTGTCTCTGTGTGTGTCACTACAGGTCTACATAGAGACCCATGGTGATACACACAGTGTCTGTGTGTCTCTGTGTGTGTCACTACAGGTCTACATAGAGACCCATGGTGATACACACAGTGTTTGTGTGTCTCTGTGTGTGTCACTACAGGTCTACATAGAGACCCATGGTGATACACACAGTGTCTGTGTGTCTCTGTGTGTGTCACTACAGGTCTACATAGAGCCCCATGGTGATACACACAGAGTCTGTGTGTCTCTGTGTGTGTCACTACAGGTCTACATAGAGACCCATGGTGATACACACAGTGTCTGTGTGTCTCTGTGTGTGTCACTACAGGTCTACATAGAGACCCATGGTGATACAGACAGAGTCTGTGAGTCTCTGTGTGTGTCACTACAGGTCTACATAGAGACCCATGGTGATACACACAGAGTCTGTGAGTCTCTGTGTGTGTCACTACAGGTCTACATAGAGACCCATGGTGATACACACAGTGTCTGTGTGTCTCTGTGTGTGTCACTACAGGTCTACATAGAGACCCATGGTGATACACACAGTGTCTGTGTGTCTCTGTGTGTGTCACTACACGTCTACATAGAGACCCATGGTGATACACACAGTGTCTGTGTGTCTCTGTGTGTGTCACTACGGGTCTACATAGAGACCCATGGTGATACACACAGTCTGTGTGTCTCTGTGTGTGTCACTACAGGTCTACATAGAGACCCATGGTGATACACACAGTGTTTGTGTGTCTCTGTGTGTCACTACACGTCTTCATAGAGACCCATGGTGATACACACAGTGTCTGTGTGTCTCTGTGTTTGTCACTACAGGTCTACATAGAGACCCATGGTGATACACACAGTGTTTGTGTGTCTCTGTGTGTGTCACTAGAGGTCTACATAGAGACCCATGGTGACACACACAGAGTCTGTGTGTCTCTTGTGTGTGTCACTACATGTCTACATAGAGACCCATGGTGATACACAGTGTCTGTGTGTCTCTGTGTGTGTTACTACAGGTCTACATAGAGACCCATGGTGATACACACAGAGTCTGTGTGTCTCTGTGTGTGTCACTAGAGGTCTACATAGAGACCCATGGTGATACACACAGTGTCTGTGAGTCTCTGTGTGTGTCACTACAGGTCTACATAGAGACCCATGGTGATACACACAGTGTCTGTGTGTCTCTGTGTGTGTCACTACAGGTCTACATAGAGACCCATGGTGATACACACAGTGTCTGTGTGTCTCTGTGTGTGTCACTGCAGGTCTACATAGAGACCCATGGTGATACACACAGAGTCTGTGTGTCTCTGTGTGTGTCACTACAGGTCTACATAGAGACCCATGGTGATAAACACAGTGTCTGTGTGTCTCTGTGTGTGTCACTACTAGTCTACATAGAGACCCATGGTGATACACACAGTGTCTGTGTGTCTCTGTGTGTGTTACTAGAGGTCTACATAGAGACCCATGGTGATACACACAGTGTCTGTGTGTCTCTGTGTGTGTCACTACATGTCTACATAGAGACCCATGGTGATACACACAGTGTCTGTGTGTCTCTGTGTGTGTCACTACATGTCTACATAGAGACCCATGGTGACACACACAGAGTCTGTGTGTCTCTGTATGTGTCACTTACACGTCTACACAGGGACCCATAGACTAAACCATGAACTCTGATGTAGTTTCTACTTCTAAGCTTCTAACCTCCATGCCTCGCCCGACAGACGCCGCTCCCACCCCTGGAGGCAAGGGGGTTCGCCGGGGCCCGCCGGGACCCCCGCCGGGCCTCGCCGAGGGGGCCCCCGGCACGCAGGGCCCCCCATCCGGGGGGACGGCGGCGGCGTTGCCGGTGGCACGGCCACGGCAACATTCCGGGTCCTCCAAGGCCGAGAGCCCCACTCCGGCGGCACGCCCAGCGGCTCACCGAGCCCCGGTGAGTCGTCCAACAACAACAACAACAACCGCCGTTCGCCGCTAAGTGGCGGTGACGTCACCACGACGCTTGTGCCAGACTATGTGCACCCTGAGGCTACGTGAAGTGTCGAACGCCCGCTGGCAGGAGGTCACGGGACAAGACCCAGGTGCCATGGGTCGACTGACTGAGATGACTGGCTGATGCACCACCTGTGCCCCCTACTGTGCCAACCTGCTGTGCTTTAGCCACCCGGCGCTCCGCTCGTTGTTGTGAGCATCGCTCCTCCGCCCTCCGTTGTTGTTGGAAGGCGACTACCTCCAACTGCCCAGTAGCGTCCTTCACGAGCCTCCTCCACAGAGGCCGATCTTGACACCGCTGGTACCAGTCATCGGCAAGTCCACTCAGCTCCACGTCCTACTATACCACATCACTCCATCTCTTCTCTAGCCCGTGCCGCGCCTGTTTAGCCCCCTAGATCCGGCCGAACAAAAGCTGTTTGGGCATGTGGTGGCTGGGCATGTGGGCTACATGACCCAGCCAACGCAGCCTTGCCTGCCAGAGGAGCTCACCGATGGGACCTTGCCGAGATCTTTCACGAATTTGTGAGCTCCTAACACAATCCAGCCTGGTTAAACCCAGGATGGATCGTAGGCAGGCCTAGCCTAAATGTTTCTAACCGGCGAAGATATTCCATTAGGGGGGTCCACGTTCCGCAAGCGTAGAGAAGGGAGGGAATGACCGTGGCCGAGAAGACCTGAAGCTTAGTGCGGAGCGACAGACCAGGTAGCTTCCACACAGCGTTACGCAACCGATGAAAATATATTGCCGCTCGACTGATTCGGAGTGAGACCTCTGCTGACAAACCGGAGCCGGTCATGAGCACACTGCCCAGGTATGGGAAACTCTCCACTCTCTTCACAACTGAACCTGTCACCAATTGGGAGTTGTGGGGGTGGAGTATCCGATGGTACAAAATACTCAGGCAGGTGCTTAGTTTTGGTGGGCCTGATGGTAAGGCCCCATCTGTTGGTGGCAAGCTCCAGATTTATCAGCAGTGCCTCCAACTCCTCCTCTGAGTGAGCAGCAATTACCAGATCATCGGCATACATAACGTGGTTGAGCAATAGGGAGCCATCCCTTGACCGCACCCGGGCATCGATCAGCCTCCCATTGTATCTGTGCCAGATGGAAATTCCAACGGTACAGCTATTGAAGGCTTCACGAATTACGTGGTCAAAATAGATGTTAAATAATGTGGGAGCCATAGGACATCCCTGTCGCACCCCAAGGTGTACAGGGAATGGCTCTGACTCCCGGCCACGTAGTTTTGCCCAGGCCCGCTCACCATCATGAAGGTCCTTAATGATCGTGAGCAGAGGGTCAGGGACTCCGAAAGCACGAATAACAATCCTGAGCCCAGGCCTACTGATGGTATCATAGGCCTTGACCAGGTCAATAAAGCAGAGATATTGGTCTTGTTGGAATTCCCTACACCTCTGCTGTAGCAGACAGACAGAAAATATGGTATCTGTGCAGGACCGCCCTTTCCTGAAACCGCATTGGGGCTCCGCAAGCCTCTCCTCAGCGTGCCTGGCGAGGCGATGTTGAATAATCCTTGCCAGGACCTTTCGCGGCACACTGAGGAGTGAGATGCCCCTGTAGTTGTTACAGTCTGTGCGGTCCCCTTTCTTAAAGAGGGGACCATCAGGGCATCCTTCCAATCCTGCGGAACCTGTCCAGTAGCCCAGACTGTTGTTATGATGTCATGTAGGGCAGTCTGCGCACAAACGCCACCCTCCCTCAGTATTTCGTTTGGGAGATCATCTCTGCCCGGTGCCTTTCCTGGTCTCAGACTCGGGATCACCTTCAGTACTTTCTCAACAGATGGCACCTCAGCCAGCCACTCACAGGGGGTGACTTCCTCCTTCAATATTTGAGGCACCGCAGCCTCAGGAGGGTCATCCCCACTTTCCCCTCTCCCAGGACCTCACGGAAATGCTCAGCAAATCTGCAAACCTGTTCCTGGGGCTCGGAGATTGGATCACCGTTCTTTCCCGTGATGATGGTAATAGGTGTGGTGCTGCAGGTTACTTTTTTGATGGACTTAAATAGGGATTTGTGATCAGGGGCCATTGAGGCAGACTCCATCTCCTCAGCAACCCGCGACCACCACCCATCTTTGCAGCGCCTCACGGCTCTCCGAACCTCCGAGCAAAGGCTGCGGTAAGCCTCCTCATTCTCTGACGTGGGATGCTGTAGACGATTAGAGTGGGCCTGTCACTTTTTCACAAACATCCTGAACACCTCCTCTGTCAGCCAGGGTCTCTGTGGAGGTCTGGACCGTGTACCCAAAGCAGCCATTGCAGCTGCATGAGTCGAAATCAGTAGGAGTGGGGGACGATGCCAACCCCAGCCGCAAGCGATGATTAAATTCTCGCTTGCAACTTTTATCAGCTAGCTGAGACCAGGCCACCTTAGGTTGGAATGGGGTCCTGGGTGTAAACCCACCACCGGAGTGGAAGAATGGCAGGCGCATTTTACAGATGACAAGTCGATGGTCTGAGAGTAGATCAGCTCCACGGTAGGTCCTGGTGTCAAGGACATGGGCTCGCATCCGCTGGTCCGTCACTATGTAGTCCAGCAGATGTTCTTGCTTGGACCTGGCATGCATCCATGATGTTGTGTGGATAAGCCGATGCCGGAACAGCGTGTTGGTAATTACAAGCCCATTGGCTGCACAAAAATCTAGCAGCCTCCTACCATTGTTATTGAGTTTGATCTGGCCCATGCCTTCCAATCACTCCAGACCAGGTGCCAGCATCATGACCAATTCGGGCATTGAAGTCACCCAACAGGATGACTATCCCGAGGGGCCACTTTAGCTAGCACCTGGGACAGGAGGTCATAGAAGGCATCTGACTCATCGGCCTTGCCTGCATCCCTCCATGGATGTTAATGGGAAGGCGAGCCCAAAGTAGCCTGGGGCTCACAGCTTCTCACACCTCACTGCCACGCTCCCATGCCCCCTTCATTCTTTTGTTCAGAAGAAGAGCCACACCCTATTGTTTGGCAGTCTGCTGCCCCGAGAAGAGGACTGTCCACCCCTCATGGTGGTAGGAGCCAGAGCCGGTCCACCGGACCTCCTGAATGTCACAGAGATCCAGGCGGTGCCAGTTCAGCTCCCGACAGAGGAGTGGCAGCCTTTCCTCCGCAGTGAGCGTTCGAACATTCTACGTGGCCACCCGCAGTGGCTTTTCGTTGCTTCTGGAGGAGCCCCGAGGGTAGAGATTCAGTCTCCTGGCTCCGCTAAATGGGGTTTGGCCAGGAGACGTCATTGACGCCTGTCCCTCCGGGTTCTCCGGCACAAGCTTATTAGATATTTTAGACGTGGTTTAGTGGTAGTTAATTGAAGGTGGAGGGGCTACCAGCCCCTTGCACCAATCCAGAGCCCCCGTTTGGCCGCTGTGGTGGCTACAAACGCCCTGAGGGCCAATCGGAATTGGCCCTCCCCCCCGCAGCACTGTCCACAACAGCGTTGCCCGTCCGGCACCGCGAGGATGTAGGGGGTTGTTTTGCCATACCGGTACACCGGGTACCCGGTGAGTGCCCCACACACATACACCGGCTCACCGTACCGGGTGGTACAGTGCGGTATGGTGTGCGGTGTGACGTGTGGTGTGATGTGTGATGTGACACGCTTGCTATGATGCGCATTCTGTGACGCGCGGTGTGATGTGCTTTGTGACGTGCGTGGTGTGACGCGTGGGGGTGTGACGTTCCGTGTGACGCTTTGCGGTGTGACGCGCGGGGGTGTGACGCGCGGGGGGTGTGACGCGCGGTGTGACGTGCCGTGTGACGCTTGGGGGTGTGACGCGTGCGGTGTGACGTGCGGGGGTGTGACGCGTGGTGTGACGTGCCGTGTGACGCTTGGGGTGTGATGCTTGGGGGTGTGACGCTTGGCGGTGTGACGCTTGGCGGTGTGACGCAGCCCGAGTCTCCCGTGATCGCCGCTGAACTCTCTCCTGTGGAGCGCACCGCTGCCTGGCTCCTGCACCTCCAGTGCAGCGACCACGACCCGGACGACCTCCACCACCACCACCTGCACCACCACCAGCACCACCAGCACCACCACACTGAAGACCTCCATCACCACGAGCAGCACCACCACACTGAAGACCACCACCAGCACCACACTGAAGACCACCACCAGCATCACACTGAAGACCACCACCACCAGCATCACACTGACGAGCAGCAGCGCATCCTCAGGAAGGTGAGTGAGTGGGTGACTGAGTGACTGGGTGACTGAGTGACTGGGTGACTGAGTGAGTGGGTGACTGAGTGAGTGGGTGACTGAGTGACTGGGTGACTGAGTGAGTGGGTGACTGGGTGAGTGACTGAGTGAGTGGGTGACTGAGTGAGTGGGTGACTGAGTGAGTGGGTGACTAGGTGAGTGGGTGACTGAGTGAGTGGGTGACTGGGTGAGTGAGTGACTGAGTGAGTGGGTGACTGAGTGGGTGACTGAGTGGTGGTTGGGTTGAAGGTACAAGTGGTAATGGCGGTAGAAGTGGTGGTAGTGGTGGTGATGTTGGTGGTGGTGGTGGTGGCGGTGATGTTGGTGGTGGTGACGTTGGTGGTGGTGGTGACGTTGGTGACGGTGGTGGTGACGTTGGTGGTGGTGACGGTGGTGGTGGTGACGTTGGTGGTGGTGACGGTGGTGGTGACGTTGGTGGTGGTGACGTTGGTGGTGGTGACGTTGGTGGTGGTGACGTTGGTGGTGGTGACGTTGGTGGTGGTGACGTTGGTGGTGGTGACGTTGGTGGTGGTGACGGTGGTGGTGACGTTGGTGGTGGTGACGTTGGTGGTGGTGACGTTGGTGGTGGTGATGGTGGTGGTGGCGGTGACGTTGGTGACGTTGGTGGTGACGTTGGTGGTGACGTTGGTGGTGACGTTGGTGGTGGTGACGTTGACGTCGTTGGTGACGTTGTTGGTGGTTGTGATGCCCCCCGGCAGTACGAGTCTGAGCTGCTGGCGGCGTCGACTCGCCGCCAGCAGGCCTGCGCCCAGCGCCTGCGGTGTTGGTGGTGGTGACGTTGGTGGTGGTGACGGTGACGATGTTGGTGGCGGTGACGTTGGTGACGTTGTTGGTGGTGACGTTGATGATGATGGTGGTGTTGGTGGTGGTGACGGTGATGACGTTGGTGACGTTGGTGACGTTGTTGGTGGTGGTGACGTTGGTGGTGGTGATGGTGGTGGTGATGATGGTGGTGGTGGTGGTGATGATGGTGGTGGTGGTGGTGACGGTGGTGGTGGTGGTGACGTTGGTGGTGGTGACGTTGATGATGATGGTGGTGTTGTTGGTGGTGACGGTGATGACGTTGGTGACGTTGGTGACGTTGTTGGTGACGTTGGTGACGTTGATGGTGGTGTTGGTGGTGACGGTGATGACGTTGGTGACGTTGATGATGATGGTGGTGTTGGTGGTGATGACGTTGGTGACGTTGTTGGTGGTTGTGATGTCCCCCGGCAGTACGAGTCTGAGCTGACGGCAGTGCGTGAGCTACTGGCGGCGTCGACGCGCCGCCAGCAGGCCTGCGCCCAGCGCCTGCGGTGTTGGTGGTGGTGGTGGTGACATTGGTGGTGGTGACGGTGACGATGTTGGTGACGTTGGTGACATTGTTGACGTTGTTGTTGGTGACGTTGGTGACGTTGGTGACGTTGTTGGTGGTGACGTTGATGATGATGGTGGTGTTGGTGGTGACGGTGACGATGTTGGTGACGTTGTTGGTGACGTTGATGATGATGGTGGTGTTGTTGGTGGTGACGGTGATGACGTTGGTGACGTTGGTGACGTTGCTGGTGACGTTGGTGACGTTGTTGGTGGTTGTGATGTCCCCCGGCAGTACGAGTCTGAGCTGACGGCGGTGCGTGAGCTACTGGCGGCGTCGACGCGCCGCCAGCAGGCCTGCGCCCAGCGCCTGCGGTGTTGGTGGTGGTGGTGGTGACATTGGTGGTGGTGACGGTGACGATGTTGGTGGCTGTGACGTTGGTGACATTGTTGGTGGTGACGTTGATGATGATGATGGTGGTGTTGGTGGTGGTGACGGTGACGATGTTGGTGGCGGTGACGTTGGTGACGTTGTTGATGATGATGATGGTGGTGTTGGTGATGTTGTTGGTGGTGACGGTGATGACGTTGGTGACGTTGGTGACGTTGTTGACGTTGTTGGTGGTGACGTTGATGATGATGGTGGTGTTGTTGGTGGTGACGGTGATGACGTTGGTGACGTTGGTGATGATGGTGGTGTTGGTGGTGGTGACGTTGATGATGATGGTGGTGTTGTTGGTGGTGACGTTGGTGACGTTGTTGGTGACGTTGGTGACGTTGTTGGTGGTGACGTTGATGATGATGGTGGTGTTGTTGGTGGTGACGGTGACGACGTTGGTGACGTTGGTGACGTTGTTGGTGACGTTGGTGACGTTGTTGGTGACGTTGTTGGTGGTTGTGATGTCCCCCGGCAGTACGAGTCTGAGCTGACGGCGGTGCGTGAGCTGCTGGCGGCGTCGACTCGCCGCCAGCAGGCCTGCGCCCAGCGCCTGCGTCTGCAGGAGGAGCAGCGCGACGCCGTGCAGCGGGAATATCGCGCTCGCCTCGACGAGAGTGACGAGCGCCTACGGCGTCAGCAGGAGGACAAGGAGGCGCAGATGAAGGGAATCATCAGCAGGTGGGTGGGCGGGTGGGTGGGTGGGTGGGTGGGTGAGTTGGTGGGTGGGTGGGTGGGTGGGTGGGTGGGGGGGTGGGTGGCTGGGTGGGCGGGTGAGTGGCTGGGTGGGCGAGTGAGTGGCTGGGTGGGCGAGTGAGTGGCTGGGTGGGCGAGTGAGTGGCTGGGTGGGCGAGTAAGTGGCTGGGTGGGCGAGTGAGTGGCTGGGTGGGCGGGTGAGTGGCTGGGTGGGCGGGTGAGTGGCTGGGTGGGCGGGTGAGTGGCTGGGTGGGCGGGTGAGTGGCTGGGTGGGCGGGTGAGTGGCTGGGTGGGCGGGTGAGTGGGTGGGTGGGAAGGTGAGTTGGTGGGTGGGTAGGTGAGTTGGTGAGTGGGAAAGTGAGTTGGTGGGTGAGTGGGTAGGTGAGTTGGTGGGTGGGTGGGTGGGTGGGTGAGTTGGTGGGTGGGTGGGTGACTGGCTGAGTGGGTGACTGGCTGAGTGGGTGACTGGGTGAGTGGGTGAGTGGGTGGGTGGGTGAGTGGGTGGGTGAGTTGGTGGGTGAGTGGGTGGGTGACTGGGTGAGTTGGTGGGTGGGTGGGTGAGTGGGTGAGTTGGTGGGTGAGTGGGTGAGTTGGTGGGTGGGTGGGTGATTTGGTGGGTGGGTGGGTGAGTTGGTGGTTGGATGAGTTGGTTGGTGAGTTGGTGGGTGGGTGGGTGGGTGAGTGGGTGAGTTGGTGGGTGGATGAGTGAGTTGGTGGGTGGGTGGGTGAGTGGGTGAGTCGGTGGGTGGGTGACTGGGTGAGTGGGTGGGTGACTGAGTGAGTTGGTGGGTGGGTGACCGTAACCCACCCCACATGACCCCCCCCCCCCCCACGTGACCCCCCCAGGCTGATCGCCGTGGAGGAGGAGCTCAAGAGGGACCACGCGGAGATGCAGGCGGTGATCGACGCCAAGCAACAGATCATCCACGCACAGGTGACACGCGCGTCACACCGTGACACAGCCACACAGTCACACAACAACAACAACAACAACAACAACCGCCATTCGTCACCAAGTGACGGTGACGTCACCACGACGCTTGTGCCAGGCTATGTGCACCTTGAGGCCACGTGAAGTGTCGAACGCCCGCTGGCAGGAGGTCACGGGGCAGACCCAGCAGGTGCCACTGGTCGACTGACTGAGATGACTGAGATGAGTGGCTGATGCACCACCTGTGCCCCCTACTGTGCCAACCTGCTGTGCTTCATACTCTTTGGTTCTATTGGGTAAAGTCACGTAGGTAAAAAATAAAATAACAAAAATCACGACGTTTTGGCCACAACACAAGCGGCCTTGATGAACGCCTTGATGAAGGCCGCTTGTGTTGTGGTCGAAACGTCGTGATTTTTGTTATTTTTTTTTTACCTACGTGACTTTACCCAATAGAACCAAAGAGTATGGATCCTTGCAGTCACGAAAGCTTCAAATCTAGAATTGCTGTGCTTCAGCCACCCGGCGCTCCGCTCGTTGTTGTGAGCGTCGCTCCTCCGCCCTCCGTTGTTGTTGGAGGGCGACTGCCTCCAACTGCCCAGTAGCGTCCTTCACGAGCCTCCTCCACAGAGGCCGATCTTGACACCGCTGGCACCAGTCATCGGCAAGTCCACTCAGCTCCACGTCCTCCTGTACCACATCACTCCATCTCTTCTCTAACCCGTGCCACGCCCGTTTAGCCCCCTCGATCCGGCCGAACAAAAGCTGTTTTGGTTTAACACGTAGGCTTTCGCGACCAATATTATTCATAATAAAGGTTTTTGGGTTAGATCGCGTTTATTTATAAAGTAGTGAATTATTTGTCTTTTGTCAACGTGACACTTTTTTTTGCTGATTGGCCGTGTCGGGTGGTGGAGGGTTACGACACATTTCTAAATAACGCGATCTAACCCAAAAACCTTTATTATGAAAAAGCTGTTTTGGCATGCGGTGGCTGGGCATGCGGGCTACATGACCCAGCCAACGCAGCCTTGCCCGCCGGAGGAGCTCACCGATGGGACCTTGTCCAGATCTTTCAAGAATATGATCCAGCCTGGTTAAACCCAGAATGGATCGTAGGCAGGCCAGCCTAAATGTTTCCAACCGGCGAAGATGTTCCATTAAGGGGGTCCACGTTTCGCAAGCGTAGAGAAGGGAGGGAATGACCGTGGCCGAGAAGACCTGAAGCTTAGTGCGGAGCGACAGACCAGGTAGCTTCCACACAGCGTTACGCAACCGATGAAAGATATTGCCGCTCAACTGATTCTGAGTGAGACCTCTTATGTTAAACTGGAGCCGGTCATAAGCACACTGCCCAGGTATGGAAACTCTCTCCACAACTGCCCCATCACCAATTGGGAATTGTAAGGGTGGAGTGTCCGATGGTACAAAATACCCAGGCAGGTGCTTAGTTTTGGTGGGGCTGATGGTAAGGCCCCACCTCTAGGTGGCAAGCTCCAGGTTCAGCAGCAGCGCCTCCAACTCCTCCTCTGAATGAGCAGCTATTACCAAATCATCGGCATACATAACGTGGTTGTGCAATACGGAGCCATCCCTTGACCGCACCCGGGCATCGATCAGCCTCCCATTGTATCTGTACCATATGGAAATTCCTGCGGTACAGCTACTGAAGGCTTCACGAACTACATGGTCAAAATAGATGTTAAATAATGTGGGAGCCAGAGGATATCCCTGTCGCACCCCAAGGTGTACAGGGAATGGCTCTGACTCCCGGCCACGTAGTTTAATCCGGGCCCGCTCACCATCATGAAGGTCTTTAATGATCGTGAGCAGAGGGTCAGCGACTCCAAAAGCACGAAGAACAACCCAGAGCCCAGGCCTACTGATGGTATCATAGCCCTTGACCAGGTCAATAAAGCAGATTTGTTGGTCTTAGAATTCCCTACACCTCTGCTGTAGCAGACAGACAGAAAATATGGCATCTGTGCAGGACCGCCTTTTCCTGAAACCGCATTGGGGCTCCGCAAGCCTTTCCTCAGCGTGCCTGGCAAGGCGATGTTGAATAATCCTTGCCAGGACCTTTCCCGGCACACTGAGTGAGATGCCCCTGTAGTTGTTACAGTCTGTGCAGTCCCCCTTCTTAAAGAGGGGGACCACCAGGGCATCCTTCCAATCCTGTGGAACCCGTCCAGTGGTCCAGACTGTTATGATGTCATTTAGAGCAGTCTGTGCACAAACGCGACCCTCCCTCAGCATTTCGCTTGGGAGATCATCTCTGCCCGGTGCCTTGCCTGGTCTTAGACTCTGGATTGCCCTCAGTACTTCCTCAACAAATGGCACCTCAGCCAGCCACTCACAGGGGGTGACTTCTTCCAATATTTGAGGCACCGCAGCCTCAGCAGGGTCATCCCCACTTTGTGCCACGTTGTTTTCCTGGCTGAGGGATTCCCCCTCCCCCAGGACCTCACAGACATGCCCAGCAAATCTGCAAACCTGTTCCTGGGGGTCGGAGATTGGATCAACGTTTTTTCCCCTAGTGATGGTAATAGGTGTGGCACTGCAAGTTACTTTTTTGATGTAGTTAAATAGAGATTTGTGATCGCGGGCCACTGAGGCAGACTCCATCTTCTCAGCAACCCGCGACCACCACCCATCCTTGCAGCGCCTCACGGCTCTCCGAACCTCCGAGCGAAGGCTACGGTAAGCCTCCTCATTCTCCGACCTGGGATGCTGGAGCCGATGACAGTGGGCCTGTCGCTTTTTCTCAACCATCCTGAACACCTCCTCTGTCAGCCAGTGTCTCTGGGGAGGTCTGGACCGCGTACCCAAAGCAGCCATTGCAGCTGCATGAGCCACAGTCCTAAACCTCGCCCATTTACCCTCGACATCTGGAGGAGCCGGGGACGATGCCAACCCCAGCTGCAAGCGATGATGAAATTTTCGCTTGCAACTTTCATCAGCTAATTGAGACCAGGCCACTTTAGGTCGGAATGGGGTCCTGGGTGTACACCCACCACCAGAGTGGAAGAATGGCAGGCGCATCTTACAGATGACTAGTCCAAGGTCAGTGGGCAGATCGGCTCGCATCCGCTGGTCCGTCACTATGTAGTCCAGCAGATGTTCTTGCTTGGACCCGGCATGCATCCATGATGTTGTGTGGATGCGCCGATGCCGTAACAGCGTGTTGGTAATTACACAAAAATCTAGCAGCCTCCTACCGTTCTTATTGAGCTGATCTGGCCCATGCCCTCCAATCACTCCTGACCAGGTGCCAGCATCATGACCAACTCGGGCATTGAAGTCACCCAACAAGATGACTCTATCCCGAAGGGCCACTTTAGCCAGCACCTGTGACAGGAGGTCATTGAAGGCATCTGACTCATCAGCCTTGCCTGCATCCCTCCATGGATGTTCGTGTTCAGTGGGGGCATAAGTAACCATGACCACCCCTCCTCGCCTCTGGTTGATGGGAAGGCGAGCCCAAAGTAGCTTGGGGCTTACAGCTTCCCACACCTCACCGCCACGCTCCCACGCCCCCTTTTATTCAGAAGAAGAGCCACACCCTGTTGTTTGGCAGTCTGCTGCCCCGAGTAGAGGACTGTCCACCCCTCATGTTGGCAGGAGCAAGAACCGGTCCATCGGACCTCCTGAATGCCACAGAGATCCAGGCGGTACCGGTCCAGCTCCCGACAGAGGAGTGGCAGCCTCTCCTCAGCAGTGGGCGTTTGAACATTCCACGTGGCCATCCGAAGTGGCTTTTTGTTATTTCTGGAGGAGCCCTCAGGGTAGAGATTCAATCTCCTGGCTCCGCCAATTGGGGTTTGGCCAGGAGACGTCATAGACGCCTGTCCCCCCGGGGCCTCCGGCACAAGCTTATTAGTTACATATCTTAGTCGTGGTTTAGTGGTAAATTTATTGAAGGTGGAGGGGTTACCAGCCCCTCGCACCAATTCAAAGCCCCCATTTAGCCCCTGTGGTGGTCACAGACGCCATGAGGGGAGAGGCCAATCGGAATTGTCCCTCCCCACCCACAGCACTGCCCACGACAGCGTTGGTGGTGGTGGTGGTGATGGTGTTGGTGGTGGTGGTGATGGTGGTGGTGATGATGTTGGTGGTGATGGTGGTGGTGATGATGTTGGTGGTGATGGTTGTGGTGGTGGTTGTGGTGATGGTGGTAATGATGATGGTGGTGATGGTGGTGGTGATGGTAATGGTGTTGGTGGTGGTGATGGTGGTGGTGGTGATGGTTGTGGTGGTTGTGGTGATGGTGTTGGTGATGGTGGTGTTGGTGTTGGTGATGGTGGTGGTGGTGGTGTTGGTGGTGGTGATGGTGGTGATGGTGGTGTTGGTGGTGTTGGTGGTGGTTGTGGTGGTGGTGGTGATGGTTGTTGTGGTGGTTGTGGTAATGGTGGATATGGTGATGGTGGTGATGGTGATGGTGGTGATGGTGGTGATGGCGGTGTTGGTGGTGTTGGTGGTGATGGTGGTGATGGTGGTGATGTTGGTGTTGGTGGTGATGGTGGTGTTGGTGATGGTGGTGGTGGTAATGGTTGTGGTGATGTGTTGGTGATGGTGGTTGTGGTGGTTGTGGTGGTTGTGGTGATGGTGGTTGTGTTGGTGGTTGTGTTGGTGATGGTGTTGGTGTTGGTGGTGTTGGTGGTGGTGGTTGTGGTGATGGTGGTTGTGTTGGTGGTTGTGTTGGTGATGGTGTTGGTGTTGGTGGTGTTGGTGGTGTTGGTGGTGGCTGTGCAGGAGAAGCGGATCCTGTCTCTGGACGAGGCCAACTCAAGGCTCATGAGCGCGTTGGCCCAGCTCAAGGAGCGCTACAGGCGTCAGGCGCGAAACGGACTACCACCCAACAACCCCCACGGTGGTGGTGCCGGCGGCGGTGGTGCCGGTGGTGGTGCCGGCGGTGGTGCCGGCAACAACGCAACAACAACCACCACCACCACCACCAAGCTGTCCATCACGGAGAATGGGGAGTTCAAACATAGCTCCTGCTAGCGGATACCACCGCCACTACGACTGACGTTACTACCGCTGCCGCCGCTGCTACCACCTTCACCATCGTCACCGCCGCCGTCACCACCACCATCATCACCATCACCACCACCATCATCACCACCATCATCACCACCATCATCACCACCATCACCACCACCATCACCACCACCATCATCACCACCATCATCACCACCATCATTACCACCACCATCACCACCACCATCACCACCACTGTCACCACCGCCATCATCACCATCACCACCACCATCATCACCACCATCATCACCACCATCATCACCACCATCACCACCACCATCACCACCACCATCATCACCACCATCATCACCACCATCATTACCACCACCATCACCACCACCATCACCACCACTGTCACCACCGCCATCATCACCATCACCACCACCATCACCACCACCACCATCACCACCACCATCACCACCACCATCATCACCACCACCACCATCACCACCATCACCACCACCATCATTACCACCACCACTGTCACCATCGTCAGCGCCACTAATGCTGCCGCCGCCGCCGTCACTGCCACCATCGTCACCATCAACACCACTGCCATCACCATCACCGCCACACCGTCACCACCACCGTCACCAGCACCATAACCACCACCACCGTCACCACCGCCATCATCACCATCACCACCGCCATCATCACCACCATCATCACCACCACCACTGTCACCACCACCACCGTCACTACCACCACCGTCACTACCACCACCGTCACCATCAACACCACCACCATCACCATCATCACCACCATCACCACCGCCATCATCACCACCATCATCACCACCACCACTGTCACCACCACCACCGTCACTACCACCACCGTCACCATCAACACCACCACCATCACCATCATCACCACCATCACCACCGCCATCATCACCACCATCACCACCATCACCATCACCACCGTCACCATCAACACCACCACCATCATCACCACCATCACCACCGCCATCATCACCACCATCACCACCACCATCACCACCACCACCATCACCACCACCATCACCACTACCACCATCACCACCATCATCACCACCATCACCATCATCACCCACGTGTTAGTTTGTTCGTGTGATTATTTGTATTTTAAACACTGACAATGTTTAACGTCCGTGTAGATTTTTTGTTTAAAAAAACCGGTTAAAGTTATAATTATTAAAATATACGTAAACATACATACACATTTATATAATACACACACACACACTTATATAATTTACACACACACTTATATAATACGCACACACCCATATATAATACACACACATACAATACACACACACTTATATAACACACACACTTATATAATACACACACTATTATATAATACACACACATATAACACACACACACACTATTATATAATACACACACTTATATAATACACACACATATAATGCACACACACATATATAATACATACACACACACCTATATAATATATACACCCACAACACACACACACACCTATATAATATACACACACATAATACACACACATATAATACACACACACACCTATATAATATACATTATACATACACACACAACACACACACACCTATATAATATACACACACAACACACACACATAATACACACACACACACATATAACACACACCAATATAATATACATTATACATACACACACAACACGCACACCTATATAATACACACACACATAATACACACATATAATACACACACACCTATATAATATACATTATACATACACACAACACACACACACATATAACACACACCTATATAATATACATTATACATACACACACAACACACACCTATATAATACACACACAACACACACACACATAATACACACACACACACATATAACACACACCTATATAATACACACACACACATAATACACACATATAATACACACACACACACACCTATATAATATACATTATACATACACACACAACACACACACCTATATAATACACACACACACAACACACACACATAATACACACACACACATATAACACACACCTATATAATACACACACAATACACACACATATAATACACACACACCGATATAATATACATTATACATACACACACATATAACACACACCTATATAATACACACACACAACGCACACACACATAATACACACACACACATATAACACACACCTATATAATACACACACACACATAATACACACACATATAATACACACACACACACACCTATATAATATACATTATACATACACACACAACACACACACACACCTATATAATATACACACACAACACACACACATAATACACACACCTATATAATACACACACACACACACATAACACACACCTATATAATACACACACACAACGCACACACACATAATACACACACACATATAACACACACCTATATAATACACACACACACACATAATACACACACATATAATACACACACACACACACCTATATAATATACATTATACATACACACACAACACACACACACCTATATAATATACACACACAACACACACACATAATACACACACACATATAACACACACCAATATAATATACATTATACATACACACACAACACACACCTATATAATACTCACACACTTTCATTAACAGAGACCTCGGCTAATCGTACGGACGCACTTGAAGTACGCTACAACCCCCAGTCGTGTCACGTGACCTCCTCGTGCACCTAGCCTGGCACCGAGAGGTCGACTCGCGTCACGTGACCTCCTCGTGCACCTAGCCTGGCACCGTGCTCGATCCACTGCTGGATGATGACCGCCCGTGCCTTTGTCGACGGCTGCGCAAAGCGAAAAGTCACGGATCGTTGAAGATGATCGATTGATCAGATGATCGATCGATCATTATCAACGATTGATCAATCATCGTTATCAATGATCGATCGATCATCATCAACGATTGATCAATCATCATTATCAATGATTGATCGATCATCATTATCAACGATTGATCGATCATCGTTATCGTTATCAACGATTGATCGATCGTCATTATCGATAGCTGTCATTGCAAGGAAACGAACACTTTGATTTAAAATCAATAGATGGGCCGTATCTATTATTGATAGATGGATCTGTGAGTCGCGTTGTGTACATGGAGGGAGTGGTGGTGGTGGTGCTGTTCGCTTTGGGATGTTGATGGCACGCGAGAGTGGAACTTTCTGTACGAACTTCAGGTGAGTTTAGTGGTGGTTGTGGTGGTGGTGGTGATGGTGGTGATGGTGGTGGTAGTGGTGGTAGTGGTGATAGTGGTGGTGATAGTGGTGTTGGTAGTGGTGTTGGTGGTGGAGATGGTGGTGGTAGTGGTGGTAGTGGAGATGGTGGTAGTGGAGATGGTGGTAGTGGTATTGGTGATGGTGGTGGTGGTAGTGGTGATGGTGGTGGTGGTAAGTGTTGTTGGTGGTGGAGATGGTAGTGGTGGTGGTATTGGTGGTAGTGGAGATGGTGGTAGTGGTGGTGGAGATGGTGGTAGTGGTATTGGTGATGGTGGTGGTAGTGGTGTTGGTGGTGGAGATGGTAGTGGTTGTGCTAGTGGTGGTGGTAGTGGTGGTAGTGGAGATGGTGGTGGTGGTAGTGATAGTGGTGGTAGTGGTGTTGGTGGTAGTGGAGGTGATGGTGATGGTGGTGTTTGTGGTTAATAGGTGCTCACTAACAGCACTTGCCCCAGCAGCATGTTGAGGCTATGCGGGGGACCTCTGTCTTGTGGTGGAGGTGGTGGTGAAGGTGGTGGAGGTGGTGATGGTGGTGGAGGTGGTGGTGATGATGGTGGTGATGATGGTGGTGGTGATGATGCAAACGCAGCAACTACTGTTACTGCTGCTGCTACTGCTGTTGCTACTGTTACTGCTACTGCTGTTGCTGCTGTTACTGCTACTGCTGTTGCTGCTGTTACTGCTACTGCTGTTGCTGCTGTTACTGCTGTTGCTACTGCTGTTGCTACTGCTGCTGTTACTGCTGATGTTACTGTTTATGCTGTTGCTACTGCTGCTGCTGTTGCTACTGCTGTTGGTACTGTTACTGCTGCTACTGCTGTTACTGCTGCTGCTGTTGCTCCTACTGCTGCTGCTGTTACTGCTGCTGCTGCTACTGCTGTTGGTACTGTTACTGCTGCTGCTACTGCTGTTGCTCCTACTGCTGCTGTTACTGTTACTGCTGTTGCTGCTGTTACTGCTGTTGCTACTGTTACTGCTGCTGTTACTGTTACTGCTGTTGCTACTGTTACTGCTGTTGCTACTGCTGTTGCTACTGTTACTGCTGTTGCTACTGCTGTTGCTACTGTTACTGCTACTGCTGTTGCTCCTACTGCTGCTGTTACTGTTACTGCTGTTGCTACTGTTACTGCTGTTGCTACTGGTGTTGCTACTGTTACTGCTGTTGCTACTGTTACTGCTACTGCTGTTGCTACTGCTACTGTTGCTACTGTTACTGTTGTTGCAGCAGCGAGTGATGAAGATTGTTGTCGAGACATCGCGACAAAGACAAAGCTCCCCCGTGTAGCCTCTGACAGGCTGTAGGGGCAAGTGCTGTGTCAGTGGCGAGTAGCAGCACCTATAGACACACACACAGACACACACACAGACACACACACATAGACACACAGACACACACACATAGACACACAGACACACACACATAGACACACACAGACACACAGACAGACACACACACATAGACAAAAACAAAAAACAAAGACAAAGATCCCCCATATAGCCTGTAACAGACTTTAGGGGCAAGTGCTGTTAGCGAGCACCTATGAAGGCCAGAACGGTACACGAGGGGGTGGGTGGCCAGCACCACGCCCGACCGCCTTTGTCTCCCTAGTGGCGATGTTTACACACCGCACCAGGTACTCATTTGAGGCTGAGTCGGCCTAGGGGAGGCCCGGGACCGGTTCACATAATCGTCACTGGTGTTGGCCGTGAGCGGGAATCGAACCCGGGTCGCCAGGTTCATAGCGCAGCGCGCTAACCGCTACACTATCGCTCCCCACACACATAGACACACACAGACACACACACACAGACACATACACACAGACACACAGACA